TTTTTTTTTTTTTTTTTTTTTTAAGTTTTAATTACTCTGTATGGTTGTAAGAGTGTATGGTGTACTGGGTGTGGTAATGCACACCTGTAATCTCAAAGACTCTGGAAACAAAGAGGATCGAAAATTTGAAACCAGTCTGGGCAACTTGGCAAGACCCTGTCTCAAAAATAAATACATGCATACATTATAAAGGGCCAGAGATGTAGCTGAGTGCTAGAGTGTCCCTGGATTCAATTACAAATACCACAAAAGAAAGCACAGAAGGGAGAGGAAAGAAAAAGAAAGAAAAGACAGTGTTTTGTTGGCAGGACCTAAACTCAATTCTGTCACCTTGGCACTGGGCAGCTGCTGCAATCCATATTCGGATCTCTGACTTCTAGCTGCTTCAGGTGGGCACCTGTAATCCCAGCAACTGAAAGGACATGCAGGAAGATCACAAGTTCAAGGCCAGCCTCAGCAACTTGGAGAGGTCCTCAACAACTTAGTGAGACCTTGTCTCAAAATGAAAAGGACTGGGAATGTGGCCCACGGTTAAGCATGGGTTCAATCCCATGTACCGAAAAATAAAAGCCTGCATCCCTGTTCTTTTATCTGGGATAATTGTCTCTGTGCTGAGGAATATATTTAGGATTTCTTTGACTATAGATAAGATGGTAGTCCATTCTTTAAATTTGTTTATTTGGAGCATCTTTTTTCCACTGGCTGTGGAATTCTAGGGTAGGAATTATTTTTGCACTTAAAACTTATGTTCTTTTGGCCAGGTGCAGTGGTACACGCTTTTAATCCTAGTGGCTTGGGAGACCGAGGCAGGAGGATCAAGAGTTCAAAACCAGCCTCAGCAAAAGCAAAGTGCCTAAGCAACTTAGTGAGACCCTGTCTCTAAATACAATACAAAATAGGTCTAGGGATGTGTCTCAGTGGTCAACGGCCCTTGAGTTCAGTCCATGATACCAAAAGTAAAAAAGCATGTTCTTTTGTCCTGCGTGTATCCACCATTTCAGTGAGAAATCAGTCTTATCATAATTTCTTCTTTAAATATGTCTTGTTTTCTTCGGCTGCTATTAATACTTTATCTTTGGTTTTCATTAGTCATTCAGTGATGTGCCTAAGTGTGTTCTTTATATTTACCTGGCTTGGGGTTTGCAGAACTTTCTAAATTAGTGGTTTCTGATAATATTGAAACTGTTTCAGACTAGATGACTTAAACAACATGAATTTATTGTCTCATTGTCTAATAGCTAAAAGTCCAAAATCAAGGTATCAGCAGAGTTGGTTCTTTCTGAGGACTTTTGAAGGAATGATCTATCGGAGACCTCTCTTTGGTTTGTAGATGGTTATCTTTTCTCCATCTCTCTTGATATCACCTTCCCTCTGTGTATACGCTATGTCCAGATACCAATCATATTAGATAGGGCCCATCCTAAAGACTTTATTTCGGTTGACAACTTGATTACCTTTATAAAAATTCTCTCTCTAGCCGGCTGCGGTAATGCACACCTGTAATCCCAGTGGCTTGGGAGGCTGAGACAGGAGAATAGCGAGTTCAAAGCCAGCTTCAGAATAGTGAGGTGCTAAGCAACTCAGTGAGACCCTGTCTTTAAATAAAATACAAAATAGGGCTGGGGATGTGGCTTAAGGGTTGAGTGCCCCTGAGTTTAATCTCTGGTACCAAAAAAAAAAAAAACCTCTCTGTAAATAGAGTCAAATTTTGAGGGGACCAGACTTCATCATGAGTTTGAGATAGGGGAGGGTAGAGAAAAATGACACAATTCAACCATAGTTATCTTTTTTTTTCCCCTTGAGTGTTTTTCTGTTTTAGCTGACACATAAAAATTGTCCATATTTATGGAGTATGATGTAATCACTACTTTGTAGTAAAAGCATTCAAATTCTTTGTTCTGCCAAATACAGTAGTACCTACTTGTAATCCCAGATGTTTGGAAGAGTGAAGCAGAAGCAGAAGGATGGCATGTTTGAAGCCACCCTGTGTGACATAGCAAAGACTCCATCTCAAAGTTAAGCTTAAAAAATTTTTTTTTTCTTTTGGTACCTGGTATTGATCCCAGGGGCACTTAACCACTGAGCCACATCCCTAGCCCTTCTTTATATTTTATTTAGATAGAGGGTCTTGCTGAGTTGCTTAGGGCCTTACTAAGTTGCTGTGGCTGGCTTTGAACTAGCAATCCTCCTGCCTCAGTCTCTTGGCATGTGCCACTGTGCCCAGCTAAATTGACCAATTTTAATAGCAAAAGATCCTGTCCAGTATTAATAAATTTTATTTGTCATTTCTCTTTATTGTCCTTTGATCTAGAATAGTTCCTTAGTTTTTTTTCTTGACTTACATGACTTATGTTTGAAACTTATGTTTGAAGATTACAAATCAAATCTTTTGTGCATCTCCCCCAGTTTGAATATATGTGGTATTTATTTGTGATCAGATTGAAGTTATTTATGTTTAGAAGAAATATCACATATTCTTTCATTTTGTCAGTTGGCCCACAAGTTTGATATATCTTACTAACTATAATGTTCCCCTTGATATCTTGATTAATGTCACATCTTCCAGTCTTGTCCATTATGATGTTTTTTCTTGCTAATTGTTATGGGTTGAATTGTTTCTCCTGGAAAGTTATGTTGAAACCAGTATATGACCTTGTTTGGAACCAGGGTCTTTGCAGATATGATCAAGTCAAGTATAACTGGTGCTTTTACTGTAAGAAGAGGAAAACTAGACAAAAAAAGAACATCATTGAGCTGAAAATGTGGTTCAGTGCCTGAGTGTTTGCCTGGCTTGTGGGAGATTCTGGGTTTGATTTTCCCAGTACCACAAATAAACAAGTAAATAAAATTTTTAAAGGAGAACATCATGAACATATGGCACATAACCTGTAATCTCAGATCCTCAGGAGGCTAAGGCACTAGGATTACAAGTTCAAGGCCAGTATGGGCCACCTAGGAAGACTATGTCTCAAAATCCTTAGTACCACCATAGCTTTAAGGTATTGGCAATTAAAACAATCAGGAGATCAGTAGGATTTAAGTCAGATAATTGATATTAACATCAACAGTGGTAGATTATACCCTTAATACAATGTGATGGCAATAGCACTTTATCTCTGTGTCTTTTTCTCCAAAAACCTTTAACCCCCATCTAATCATGAGAAAAATAGCCAATAAATCTCATTTGACAGTCTACAAAATATCTAAACAGTATTTTTAACACTGTTCGAGTTCATCAAAAACAAGGGAAGTTCAACAAACTGTCACAAACAAGTATTCCAGGCTAAAGAATTCTTTAAGGGGCTGGGGCTGGGGCTCAGTGGCAGAGCGCATGCCTCACACATGTGAAGCACTGGGTTTGATCCTCAGCACCACATAAAAATAAGTAAATTATTATAATAAAGATTTTTTTTTTTTTTTTTTTAAGAATTCTTTAGATTTCTAACTTAGGCAACTTTGTGGATGTTGATATTCACTTAAGAGATTAGAGCCAGGCTTACTGGCACACAACCAGAGTTTGGGAGGCTGAAGCAGGAAAATCAAAAGTTTGAGGCCAGCATCAGCAATGTAATGAGACCCTCTGTCAAAATAGAAAGGACCAGAGGTGTAGCTCAGTGGAAAAGCACCCCTGAGTTCAATCCCCAGTAGTGAGAGAGACAGAGAAAGAATTTAAAAGTATTTCATGCTTGACAGATTGTTATTTTCTTGTTTTGAGCCAGTGATGTTGTAATGATGAGTAAATCTGATCAGAGTTGGAATGGTAACTTCTTGGTCCTTTTCCCAGGGAAATAAACTCCTTTTTCTCTTTTAGGCATACAAAACCTTTGCTAACCGAGTAAACAATTTAAAGAAGAAATTGGATCAGTTGAAGTCAACCCTTCCTGATCCTGAAGAATCACCAGTCCCTTCCCCAAGTATGGATGCTCCCTCCCCAACTGGTTCGGAGTCTCCATTTCAGGGAATGGGAGGTGAGGAATCCCAGTCACCAACAATGGAGAGTGAGAAATCTGCTACACCTGAACCTGTGACTGATAATCGTGATGTGGAAGATATGGAACTCTCAGATGTAGAAGATGATGGGTCAAAAATCATTGGTATGTCCTTATGTAATTAGTAGATAATTTATTCTGTGTTTTCCTTGCCCACTAATATTAATCAGTCAGTTATGGGTAGTTATTAAAACATAGCTTAGTACATATTAGAACACTAAGGTAATATTCATCTCTATATGGTATGCTACATGGGTTAAGAATTACTGCTGAAGATCAAGACTTCAGTATAGCAGCAGCTAGCTAAAATGTGACTGTTAAGCATTTGAAATATAGTTTGCACAACTTGGGATATTATATAATTAGAAAATATACACTGGATTCTCAACACTACCTCCTCAAATAAAAATATCATCACATTAATGATTTTTATTTTTATAACAATGAGATTAAAATGTTTAGGATATGTAAAGATAAATACACATTATCAAAATGTATCTATTTCTTTTTTTTTTTTTTTTTACATGGCTGCTAGAAAGCTTAAACTTAAATATGTGTCTTGAATTATATGTCTCTTGGCCAGCACTGCTCTAGAGGAAGGGGCATTTATACCAGAATCACCTTCTCTGTCACTTTTGACCATCCAGAATCCCAAAGCTGCAATTATCAAGAAGTAAAACTTTGCAGTTTCAAATTAGAGCCTAATTGCACCCTAGTACCAAAAAAAAAAGAAGAAAAAAGAAAAGAAATTGCTTAGAAAATACAACAAAAATACGTATAGAGCTCTTGAGCTTTTGTCACTAAGAAATTCTCAGGTTAATGGAAAAGGAAAGATGACAAATACCATTTCCAAGGGACAATGCAAATGTGTACCAAATAAGTGTTTACCAGAAATGTTCACATTTTTATTTATTTTTATTTGGGGGCGGGTGGCTGTAACAGTAGTAGCCTTTCATTTTTTTATTTTTTGCCATTTCCTTTTCCTTCCACTTTCCTGAGAATCCTCATGTCACTCCCCAGCCTCTCTCCCTCTGGTTTCAGAAATGTATACATTGAATACACAAATTTTCACAAGATCCGAAAGAATCATAAGGGGGCTGGGGATGTAACTCTGTTGGTAGAGAGCTTGCCCTGCATGCACAAGCAAGGCCCTGGATTCAATCCCCAGCACCACACACACACACACAAAAAAAAAAAAAAAAATCATAAATAAGCAAGAAAGAGGATAATTGAGAAATTCCTTTTAAGTAGATATAGAAGGTGGGAATGATAATAAATATCAAAAATAATAATTTATGAAGACTATGACTTTAAAATAAAAAACACAAAGTGACTGGTTGTTTTCTCTAGAATTATAGTGCTTTTTAAACCCTCAAATTAGAAAATATTAGGACATATTATTTCATATTTAAGAACAAAGCCTAGAAAGTAGGAAGATGTAATATCATATCTTCTCTTTGTTGAAACAGTGGAGGACAGGAAGGAAAAACCTGTGGAGAAGTCAGCTGTCTCTACTTCTGTACCTACAAAGCCAACAGAAACTCTCCCAAAGGCCTCTTCCTGTACCCCAGTGCCTGTGACCATGACAGCAACCCCACCTCTTCCAAAGCCTGTGAATACTTCTCTGCTGTCCCCGTCCCCAGCTTTGGCTTTGCCCAACCTGGCTAACGTGGATCTGGCAAAGATTAGTTCCATCCTTAGCAGCCTAACATCAGTCATGAAAAATACTGGTAAGTAAGCCTAGAGAAGAAGATAAAAAGCTGATTTCTAGCTTTTAAAATTGAGCCATTAGTCTGTTTTGTTGTTGTTGAATTTTGTTTAAAAAATGCAGTGAAAATGTAGAAAAATTAGAAAATTAGCACAGTGAATAAAATAAATGTCTGTCATCATATTACCCCAAAAGAAATCACTTATATTTATTTATTCTTACAAGTATATATGTATGTGAGTGTTTGAGAGATTAAAAATTCTTTTAATAATTGAAATAACCAAACATGGTGTCTCACGCCTGTAATCCAGTGGGTCTGGAGGCTGAGGCAGGAGGATCATAAGTTCAAAGCCAGGCTCAGCAACAGTGAGGCGTTGAGCAACTCAGTGAGAGGCTCTCTCTAAATAAAATACAAAATTGGGCTGGGGATGTGGCTCAGCAGCTGAGTGTCCCTGAATTTAATCCCCAGTACCCCCCCAAAAAAAATAATTAATTGGTTGATTTTAAAAAATAAAAGGGCTGGGGATATAACTTGTCTCACGGCCAAGTGCTGGGTTCAATCCCCAGCACCACACACATATACACAAGAAAAACTAAATGAAAATGTATGCAAGTAGAATATCCCATGTACTCATCACTCAGTTATAATAGGGTAACCCTGAAAAATCTAGACCATATTCACTCTGGATTATTTTGAAGAAATTTCCAATTTAAACTTATTTTTTCTTTTCTTTTTTTTTTCCCCCTATACTAAGGATTTTACTCTGGTGCTTTACCACTGAGCTACATCCCTAACCCTTTTTTGTATTTTGATATAGGGCCTCAGTAAGTTGCTTAGGGCCTTAGTAAATTGGTAAAACTGGCCTTGAACTTACAATCCTCCTGCCTTAGCCTCCCACATTACTGAGATCACAGGCATGTGCCACTACACCCAGTCCAAACATTTAATTTCATCATAAATATTTACATACTTCTAAAAGATGGAGACTCTTGGGCTGGAAGTAACTCAGTGGTTGAGTGCTTGCATAGCATGTGCAAGGTCATGTATCAACTCCCCAGAACCAGGGGGCGGGTGGGGGGGGGGTGGATAAAGACCCTCCCCCCACAAAAAAAAGAATTAGCATGTTTTTAAAAGGCTTTTCATATGTTATAACAAAATTGATATCCAAGAATATATACTATTTTATGTACCTAGTATATGAAAGTTTCTGTTCCTCACCTTCTCTACTGTTTTACTTCATTTAATCTGTGTCACATTCAACCTTTACAAATTGTTTTAATGTTTTTCATTGATTAAAGATGTGATTAAAACTTTCTTCTATTTGCTTATTTCTGTTTCTTTGTGAAATAATCTGTTCATAGTTTTTTATCATCTTTTAAATAGTCAAATGTTTTTCTCTTTATATACCATTTTATATGTTAAAATCAACCATTTTGAAATGTAAAAAAAAAAAAAATAACGATCATTATTTCAAAAGCAAGACACGGAAGTATGCCATAGCAGAGTCCTGCGATCGCAAAGGGTCTGACCATCCGTCATCCAGCAGTGCTTACTGAGTACTAATGGGGCTCTTAAGTATAGGAACTATTTGGTAGTGGAAAAAAAGCAGTTTGCCTAGTCTCTCTGTGTTGGAGTTCTTAAAACTAATGAATATATAATAAAATAACTTGTTTATTTTAAGGATGTTCCAAATAGAAGTAGCGTATCTTAATTTTCAGATTTTTTTTTCTCTTTGTACATTCCATGATAAGGGACCATTTGTGGATGAGACGAGAAGAATTTCTGTTAAACATATCAGACTCACTGAAGTGAGTGGAAAATGTAATGAATTGAAAGGTCATTTTTGAATTGCGTTTTCTTGAGTTCATCTTTCTGCCACCAGGGGTCAGTCCTGCATCAAGACCTTCTCCAGGAACTCCTACCAGTCCCAGCAACCTCACCAGTGGCCTGAAAACACCTGCACCTACCACAACAACATCTCACAACCCTCTGGCAAATATCCTCTCCAAGGTGGAGATCACCCCAGAGAGCATTCTATCTGCTCTTTCCAAAACCCAGACACAGTCAGCCCCTGCACTACAAGGTAAACTGATATCTGCAAGAGGGACTTGAATTGTGTTTATCCCTGGCTTAATCCTGTATTCCATTTCTGAGGAATCCAAAGGCATAAAATGTATAATACAATTAGTTCCTGATTCTCATCTTTTTGTTTTCATGAATGTATGATCTCTGCCTCAGTTGACCCTCTGTCCAGCTTTGCCAGTGTGTTTTGCATGTAAAACTGCCTGTTTCTAACTTTTTTTTTTTTTAAGGTCAATCTGATCTCTACTCTTTTTTTTCCAGACACCAACACAACCCTTTTTAAATACCTCAGTATAATTATGCAATAAATTATAAATACCATAATAGTATCTTCATTGTAGTGATATACTCAATGTCAGTAATCTCAACCAGGGGCCGCTAGGGGACATGTATCAAGGAATAGAGACATTTGTGGTTGTCACGACTAGGCAAGGGGATACTAGTGGGTCAGAGCCATGTGGATGTTGCTAAACATTGTATAATGCATAGGAAAACCCCCAACAGCAAAGAATTATTCATCCCACAATGTCAAAAGTGCTGAGCTTGAGAAATTGTGCTCTGTGTGAATATAATAATATAGGTATCTCTTAATTTTCTGTTTCCTAAACTGTTTTGTAAGTGATCAGTCAAGTACTGTATTATGGTGAATTTTGTTATAAGATATAGAAAATTTTGTTACACAGAACTAAGTACTATAAAGTAATAATACATAGATTAATAATACATAGATCAATAATCCATATATTGAGACCAGCAATCAGTAGTTGATGATAATACTGTGGCACATCTTGAACCACGAATTTTAGGAACAGTTCATTTGAAGGATTGACATGCTTGTGATTTCTCCTTTTCAATCCCTCTCCTATTGCTATCTTATAGTAACAACAAAAATCTTGAACTCATTTGTGTGATTAACATATGAAACTACACCTTAAAGCTTTTCCTTGGGTTAGATTTCTGAAACAGTATCGTGTGGACTTGGGCTTTGTCATCTGGAAGAAGTTGCATGGAACTAACTAAGCATGTTTTGGGGTTTTTTTTTGTTGTTGTTGTTTGTTTTTTAAAATCTTTTTTTTTTTTTTATCATTTTTGGAACTGGGGGGTCGAACCCAGGGCTTTGCAAATGCAAGGCAGACGCTTTGCCACTGAGCTACATCCAGCCCATTAAGCATGTTTTGACAGAATAAGAAATGACAACCCCAAAAATATAATTTTTGTGGACTAACAAGGTGGTTCATCAACTTTTATTTACTTATAGAAAGTCGAATTCTATAACTTTCAAAGGACTGTGTCCAGCAGCATAAATAGATGTGTTTATTAAATGTCTCCAAGAGGGCTAGGGTTGTGGCTCAGCGGTAGACACTTGCCTAGCTTGTGCAAGGCCCTGGGTTCGATCCTCAGCACCACATAAAAATAGATAAATAAAAATGTCTCCAAGAAATCTCTTAAAACTTGGTTCTGTGATAAGGGTCCATAGTCCTTATTTACAGATTTTTGACACAAAATAATGTTTAATGGTGAAAGACAATTTTATTTATTCCAGAAATCTGGGTGGTATCTATCTTAACAAGATGATCTTTTGAAGAATTTATCCCACAGTATCTTAAAGATATGCTGAAATATCTTTTAAAAGTTACATGACATTATTACGTATCACATTGTAGTACTTGAGGACTTCTGGGTTTGGTGACAACAATGACTGGTAGGAATTAAAATTAAATTAAACTGTTAGGAAAGGAAAAATTGTATACCCTGGAAACTTTTCAGAATGAAACATGCTTTCCCTCCCCCCTCCCCAGGATAACTGAAGTTAAATATCAATTGTTTGGATATTATCTAACATTGATATTAGATTACAGAAAAATTTAAAAAAACAGGAAACATTAGAATTTTGCCAGGCATGGTGGCTTATGCCTAAAATCCGAGCAGCTAAAGAGACTGAGAGAAGAGAATCACAAGTTCAAGACTAGCCTCAACAACTTATTGAGGCCCTAAGCAACTTAGCAAGACCTGTCTCAAAATAAAAAATAAAAAGGTCTGGGGATACGGCTCAGTGTTTAAGCACCCTTGGGTTCATTTCCCAGTTCTTCCCACACTCAAAAAAAATAAATAAATAAAAAGTAATACTGGAGTGGCCCTAAAATTATTCACACCTTAAATCTCCGCAAATATGGGTTAAAATTGATATTTTGAAGACATATTAATTAACCAGAGTTACCATATAAAATTATGAAATACTCTTTTACAATATCATTGCTGAGGATAAGTTTTAGTACAATTTATTAACTAAAATCTATACATTTGGGGCTGGAAATGTATCTCAATGGTAGAGTGCTTCTCTTGCATACAAGAAGCCCTGGGTTCAAACCTCAGTACCAAAAAGAGAAAAATTTATATACTTGCATGAAATAAAGTTTTCATTTATGACCAGAAATTCATTAAATTTTCCAAAACATGGTTAAATTTATCTGCTCTTCTGTTACCTCTTTGTCAGATATTTTTTAAATATTTTTTTAGTTGTAGACGGACACAATACCTTTATTTTATTTATTTATTTTTATGTAGTGCTGGGATCAAACCCAGGGCTTCATATGTGCGAGGACTTCATATGTCACTGAGCCACATTTGTCAAATATTTTTTAAAACATTTTCTACAGGAGTAGTTTGCTTTCATGAACCTTCAACCTTTGTCCCAAAGAGCTCTTTCTCAGTACTTCTGAGGAGGTTTTGTCTGTCATTGAATAGGGTTGAATCTCATCATTATCAGTTTTAATTAATCAATAATCCTTGGTTTTTCCAAGTTATAGAATAGAAATTTTGTTTTCTTGTGAAAGGATCAGTACCCCTGTTTGTCTGGCTTTTAAGTCTTTGTGGTGTGTGTTTATCTCATTTTTATTGCTACATTTTACAATCAGATTTGATAGTTAAAAGCGTTGTATTCTAAAAGGTAACAACCAGTCTAGCAGGAGATACTTCTACTCCCCATTCTAATGGATTTCTCAAGTTTGCACATGTTGTCTCCCTCTTAGGAGTCACAGTGTGTACTGTTAACCTTAGAGATGATTGTGGAGCTGGGAAAGGAAAGGTAGGGCAGGATATCTGTTTGCATTTTGAGAACTATTTCCACAGATCAAACATTAAGAAATACTGGCTTAAGTTGTTGTTTTAAGAATAATTTTGCTTCCTTTCTTTTCCTGCTTTGCCTTGTTTCAACTATGAGTGATTCTGACATGAGAATCTCTCCCTTCCTGTTGCCTTTTATTGTGCTGTTTTGGACACGTTTCTGAACTACACGGGAAACATTTCAGTGATTTTTCTCTCTTGGATTGATAAATAAGTCCAGTGTTTTTTATGACCTTGAGCCAGTACTTGTTTGGTCTGGATTCCCTTTGGCTTCATATTTTAAAACCCATCTGGTTCCCACCAGAATGAGTGAGGATATCTCATAAGCCTACATTGTTTTTATTATATGGCAGGGAGTTGTTCTTTTTAACCCCTCTAATCTTTGTTTTTACAGGCCTGTCATCTTTACTTCAGAGTGTTACTGGGAACCCAGTTCCATCCAGTGAAGCTGCATCTCAGAGCACATCAGCTTCCCCTGCCAATACCACAGTCTCTACCATAAAAGGAAGAAATGTGTCCTCTAATACCCAATCTTTTATTCCCAAAAGCTTCAACTATTCTCCTAATTCATCAGCTTCTGAAGTCTCTTCAACTTCAGCCAGCAAGACATCAATTGGGCAAAGTCCAGGGCTTCCAAGCACTACATTTAAACTGCCATCCAACTCTTTAGGGTTTGCAGGTACCCACAGTACTAGCCCTGCTGCCCCGCCGACCGAAGTTGCCATGTGCCAATCTTCAGAGATCTCCAAGCCAAAACTGGAGTCAGAGTCCACCTCCCCAAGCCTGGAAATGAAGATCCACAACTTCTTAAAAGGTAATCCTGGTTTCAGTGGCTTAAACTTAAATATCCCAATCCTGAGCAGTTTGGGGTCCAGTGCCCCATCCGAGAGCCATCCCTCAGACTTCCAGCGTGGCCCTACTAGCACTTCAATCGACAACATTGATGGAACCCCTGTACGGGATGAACGGAGTGGAACACCCACCCAGGATGAGATGATGGACAAGCCTACGTCCAGCAGTGTAGATACTATGTCCCTGCTTTCTAAGATCATTAGCCCGGGTTCTTCAACACCCAGCAGTACAAGATCACCACCCCCTGGGAGAGATGAAAACTACCCCCGGGAGCTCTCCAATTCTGTATCTACATATCGACCCTTTGGCCTGGGCAGCGAATCTCCCTATAAGCAACCTTCTGATGGAATGGAGAGACCGTCTTCCCTGATGGACTCTTCACAGGAAAAATTCTATCCAGATACTTCTTTCCATGAAGATGAAGATTACCGAGATTTTGAGTACTCAGGGCCTCCACCTTCTGCTATGATGAACCTGGAGAAGAAACCAGCCAAATCTATCCTCAAGTCCAGCAAGGTGTCTGATGCCCCGGAGTACCAGCCAATCCTGTCCAGTTATAGCCACAGGGCCCAAGAATTTGGGGTAAAGTCAGCCTTCCCTCCATCTGTAAGAGCCCTCCTGGACTCTAGTGAGAACTGTGACCGTCTGGCTTCTTCCCCTGGGCTCTTTGGTGCCTTCAGCATAAGAGGGAACGAACCTGGGTCTGACCGGTCACCATCACCGAGTAAGAATGATTCATTTTTCACCCCTGACTCCAACCACAATAGCTTGTCTCAGTCTACCACTGGGCATCTCAGTTTGCCACAGAAGCAGTACCCAGACTCTCCTCACCCAGTCCCACATCGTTCCCTTTTCTCTCCGCAGAATACCCTCGCTGCTCCCACGGGCCACCCACCCACGTCAGGCGTGGAGAAAGTCCTGGCCTCCACCATTTCCACCACGTCGACGATTGAGTTTAAGAATATGCTTAAAAACGCCTCACGCAAGCCCTCAGATGACAAGCATTTTGGCCAGACCCCCAACAAGGGCACTTCAAGTGATGGTGTCGGTCTCTCTAACCTCACCCAGCCCAGCTTGACTCCCGCTGACCAGCAGCAGCAAGAAGAGCACTACCGCATAGAAACCCGCGTGTCCTCCTCCTGCCTAGACTTGCCTGATAGCACAGAAGAAAAAGGGGCCCCGATAGAAACTCTGGGTTACCATAATGCCGCTAATAGAAGGATGTCGGGGGAGCCGATACAGACCGTAGAGTCCATCCGAGTTCCTGGGAAGGGGAATAGAGGACATGGGCGCGAGGCTTCAAGGGTGGGCTGGTTCGACCTGAGCACATCGGGCAGCTCTTTTGACAATGGCCCCTCAAGTGCCTCTGATTTGGCATCCCTTGGGGGTGGGGGCAGCGGAGGCCTCACTGGCTTTAAAACAACACCATACAAGGAACGGGCACCCCAGTTTCAGGAGAGTGTCGGCAACTTTCGTTCCAACAGTTTCAACTCAACATTTGAGCATCATCTCCCCCCGTCCCCCTTGGAACATGGGACACCCTTCCAGAGAGAGCCAGTGGGGCCGTCATCTGCCCCACCTGCCCCTCCTAAGGATCACAGTGGTATCTTCTCTCGAGATGCGCCCGCTCACCTGCCCTCTGTGGATCTTACGAATCCCTTCACAAAGGAGGCAGCCCTGGCCCATGCTGCCCCACCGCCTCCTCCTGGGGAGCACAGCGGAGTTCCCTTCCCTGCCCCGCCCCCTCCTCCGCCCCCCAGGGAACATAGCAGCAGTGGTGGGAGTGGTGTCCCCTTTTCTACTCCGCCCCCTCCTCCACCCCCTGTTGACCACTCTGGAGTTGTACCCTTCCCAACCCCTCCACTGGCAGAGCACGGAGTGGCAGGGGCTGTGGCAGTGTTCCCCAAGGACCATAGCTCCCTCCTTCAAGGGACCCTGGCTGAGCATTTTGGGGTGCTCGCAGGACCCAGGGACCATGGGGGCCCCACCCAACGGGACCTCAACGGCCCTGGCCTTAGCCGTGTGCGGGAGAGCCTGAGCCTACCCGCCCACTCTCTGGAGCACCTGGGCCCAGCTCATGGAGGAGGTGGGGGAGGCGGCACCAGCGGCAGTGGCCCCCCCTTGGGTCCCTCACACAGAGACACCATCAACCGGAGTGGTATGATTTTACGGAGTCCCCGGCCAGACTTTCGGCCTCGGGAACCTTTTCTCGGCAGAGACCCATTCCACAGTTTAAAGAGACCCAGGCCACCTTTCGCTAGGGGCCCTCCGTTCTTTGCACCAAAACGCCCGTTCTTCCCTCCCAGGTACTGATGGAAACCAAGGGAAAGGAGCATTTTGAACAGTCTAGAGAGCATTGCAAGTAGGAGTTTGGTTTATTGCTGTTTTTATTTGTTTTCCCTCCCTTGATTTATTTTTTTTTATTATGATAAAGGGCCTCCCTTCCAAATTAAAAAGTCATCTCTGCTTAAATTTTACTATTCCATCCAGTCCCTCCTCCGACAGCACTTACTTCCTTCTCCAAGCTATTTGTATTTAAGAAAGAAACACAACCAAAGCCACTTCATTTGGCTGGGGGCTTGGGGAGTGGGGAGGAAACAATCTTTATTTTATCCCATCTATTAAAGAGTATAACTACATTTGAAATAAAACTTCCATCAGTACAGATAATAACATGTGCAATGTTGGGGTGTTATTTTGGGCTTGGCTTCTGTAGTAGTGATGGAAGGATCCCTGTCCTCTTCCTTCTCCAACAAAGTAACTGCTGTAACCAGTGCGATTCCCTGTTCTCGCTCTGCCCTGCTGGCAGCCAGGAGATGTTGCAAGGGAGGAAATGTGGAAGATCTTGGGCCTGTCAGGGTTTTTTGGTTTTGGTTTTTTGTTGGTTTTTTTTTTCTGTCAGGTTTCTTTGTTTCGTTTTTAAAGGCATGTTGTTCTTTCCCCTTTTCCTAAAATCTTACTTTTTTTTTTTTTTCCCTCCAATCAGACCCTTCCTCTAAAGTACTCTCAGGCAGTAACTTTGAGGAAATAGAAAACTCATTCTATACTGGTCAAAATTTTTCTCCTTTTAGAAGGAATTAAAGGGGGCTGAATATAAGTTCCAGGTTAAAATAAGGATATATGCCTACCATACATCAAACTAGGAAGGACCCATTGAGGTGTGCTGGGACCTGACTGTCTTCTGTAAGCAAGAGGGAACAGGACACATTTCCAGGCATCTTGCACCACGCTCTTGCTTTCTGCTTTTCTTTCTTTCTTATTTTTTCCCCTCGATCTTCATTTCTATTTTAACTAGAAAGTCACTACAGTTGACAGTTGATACAAAGATGCAAATGAAATATTATCCCTGCATTTTTCTTATAGAAGTTAATTTTACTTCTCTAACATGGTGTTCATTTGGTGGTTTTCAGCAAACGTTAACTATTAGAGAAAGGTTTGTCTTCAGTTTGGTTTCCCCCCTTGCCTCAGTCCTGTATCACCCCTACTCTTGGTGACTCAGAGGAGGAGATTCAGTAGTACTTTATATTATACCTTTTTAAGTGTGTCTTGGAAACAGATGGGTGTTACTGTTCATGTCATCACAGAGAAAAAGAAAGACCTGAAAAATCCAAATTGCCCCACTCTGCAGATAGCAACCTATCACATTTCAGTGCTCAAGCTTCATCCCCACTTCTTATGCTCAACAGGAGGCAAAGAATGTTTCTGCTTTTCATTTTACATGAGAGAGGTATACTTTCCTTCTCCTCGGACTAAAAGGCTTGTTTGTGTTCTCCAACTAGTATTTGGGAGAAAGACAATCACTGTACTTTGTTTAATCTTTGTATCTAGGGACCCTGAAAAGCAAAAACTGCTTACTAATTTTTTGGGGGGGTGGGTTTTTTGTTTTTTATTTTTACCCCAAGGTACTGGTAAACCTCCAGATAGATGAGTAAAACAGTGTGTGTTGAGTTTTTGAAGGAATCCTAGCAAATTTCATATATTTTCTCCCAAGTTAGTACAGTACTAACTATGAGGAAGGATGGGAATTGCTTTGGATTTCTCCAGTTGGGTATCAAAGGTGGAGGAGAGTGAGCAGTATAGTGACAAAAGATGACTCTTTGTCTCAGAATAAACTTGCCTTTCAGAGAAAGCAGCTTAAACCAGGTCCATCATAGCTTGGGAGTTTTTATGTGATGTTTTCCCCGTTATTTATTTGGGCTCACCTTGTGTTCTGTGGTTAGCATGCGCCAGCTCATTCATCTTCCTAATGCGCGTCTGGTCTTGAGCCTGCTGTTCTTTGTTTCTTTGACCCTCAAGCCTCTTTGCCCTGTAGCTGTCTCCACAAAAATGCATGATACCATGACCTTGTGAGTGGGATGGGGTATATAGTATAGCAAAGCAAAGGAAGCATAGTTATTTTGAGTCCTAAGGCATTTGTTTTGTGAAAAAGCATAACTGAATGGGGGTGGAGGTAAGGGAAATTCTGTCTGAGAATTGATTTTTTTTTTATTTTATTTTATTATTATTATTTTTTTTTTTTTTGCAGAAATTAAGTGGGATTTTTTTATTCTAGAATAAAAAAAATGTGAATTCTTTCTGCTGCTCTTGTTTAAGCTAATGTAGTGTTTACTTGAAAAGGCTCTCTGACCATTTGATTTTAGCAGAAAATGTGGGGATGTCAGGAAAGTGGCTTCCTGAGTATTGGGGCAGGGTAATTGTCCTCAAAAACATGATGGCTGATCCTTGAAAGGAAGACATTGTACAGTTCAAAGTTGGACTTTTAAGGGGTTGGGTTTTTGTGGGGTGTTTTTGTTCATTTGCCACAGAGTCCTCAGTACATTTGTTTCAGGATGGAAATGAGGATTTGTATGAGACTGTCAGCTATTAATTTTAAGGAAATCGCTACAGCAGTAAATGAAATCAACAATGTATATATGTGATATAGTGAAACAAAAAAAGACACTTCTGGTATTCATAAACATGAAACAAAGGGGTTTTATTCTTTCTGTGTCTGTGATTTAAAACTCCAAGACCATGCTCTGACTTTTGTATTTCAACCTGAGTTTAAAAAATAAACAAGATATTTTTTAAAGAAAGTAACATACTGTGTCTTAGCAAGGACATGACTCATATGAAAGCAGAATATGAGAAATTATTACTAAGGTCCTGGTGCTCACTGTAAAATCACAGACAAAGAATTCTAGTGAATACACTAGTACCACTTTAGTGATACGTATCAGAAGTAGGGTCCTTAAGTATTTTGTAAGGGTTCACTCTTCAGCCAGCTAACATGAGAGCTCCCTCCCTGCTTCCCTCTGCCTGCCCAAGAGTCAAGGTAAATAGAATTTTGTTGATTCCAGGGAAGGTTGATTCCAAAGTAGGATTTTTATCCTGATACCAGGAAAACAATGTGGTATATATGGTACAGCAAACCTATCTAGATAATGTGAATATGCTAAACTTCCCAATTGCAGAATATTCACTATCAGTCCTGAAGTTACCTGTTCACACAGTTAAGCTTCAGCCGTTACTGTTTTGAAGCCGCTGTAAATTACTGCTTCCCTTCTTCCCTCCCCCCCTTTTTTTTAAATTGGTGGGGGTGCCTGTTAAGATTAAAATTAGATATGTTGGTGATATTCTCACGTGTTCAGTGTGGAAAACAAAATAAGTACATGCTTTAGAGGCAACAACAATGAAATCCTTTTGAAATGTGTATTGATATCATTTAATAAAATAACTAGTTCTAAAGGTTTGACATTTTTCTTTGAGATTGGGGCTTTGTTCAAGGGCCCCTGGCTTCTCTGGTGAGTCCAAATAGGAGGGAACTTCTCCAGGAGCTGAAACTGCTGCTTTGAGGAGCAAACCTGTGGTTGGAAAATCAAAATTTTCTCCAGCAAAGATCCAACATGACTGTTCAGGGCTGAAGGTGAAACCAGCTACAGAATACAGAAAGAAAATCCTGGATGTATCTCTGAAGATGCAGTTGTATTGGCTTTTGGTCTAAGGGTATGTGGGGAAGGGGGAGTGAGTGGCCTGTATGCTCACACATTTCTGAGGCACCACAGAGTGGCCACAGACCATCCGACTCATTCCTTCCTTATGACCACTTACACTTTCTTCTAACCATTCCTTTAAAAAAAAAAAATCTTTGTCCCCAATATTTTATTTTCCAGTTTAATAAAATATAGCTTTCTTTGTTGTGTGGTTGACTTTTCCCCTCACATTGATCTTGTCCAGCTGTCCCCTTTGACTTCTGTGGTTATTATCCCTAAAGGCTATCTGAGCCTCAGATCTTCATGGCCTTGTGAGTTTTGTTTGATCCTTGGTATAATTGTGTAATGGGTGGGGTGAGACCAAGATGTTCAGGAAGTGGTTGGTGATGAAGTGGGATATATACTGTTTAGATATTGTGTGTCTTCCAAAAGTTGTACAATTGTGAGCCAAGAAGTATTTTAAAGCAGGCATAGAATTGTGGGGAGGGTGTGGTAAGGATCCTTCTGGCCAATTCTTTCCCCACGTCTACCCTTGTTGCGTATTGGCAACCTGTCACGCAGAATCCTAACTTAACCCTCCTCTCTTACCCCATCCCTTCTTATAACCCAGTGAGGCTTAATAATGGAATGTTGGCTTTAAGGGGTGGTGAAGAGGGCTGGTCACTGCATATGGGTCAGGCCTGGGTCACTGGCAGGGTAGAAGGCTCTAAATAGCAGGCTTGATTACGTGAAGCTACGTATATGTGCCCCAAGACACTTCTGAAATAGCAACAGCCTAGGCACACACCCAGCAAGTACAGTGCACCTCTGTGCTGGCTGCCTCTGGAATGTAGCTCACCCCTTCTTCCTATGCCTTCCTGGAAACTGGTCTTGCCCACCTTATTTTCTCTGTCCCTTAAGAAAGTCACAGCCTTGAGACTTCCTCATTGGCCTTTCTGGGTACATTGTTGAAAGCTCGTAACTTCCTCCCCCTAAATCACTATAGGTAAGCCTATCCTGCGCAGAAGGGATGAGTTACCGTGTGTAGTCATAAGCCACCATCAGGTGGGTATTGGGGTGTCTCATACTTGCTTATGAGTAACTGTGCAGCCAAGCCTGATCAGCTGCTGTCCACAGTTGCTGAGTAATAACTCACTGAGGCTGCGCCAACAAGGCTGCTAGAGGGTCACCAGTAGGACAGATACTTTTCTTTAAAAGGCATTTTTTAGTTGTCAGTGTATATTTATATGTGGTGCTGAGAATTGAACTCACGCATGCCAGGCCAGTGCTCTACCCCCCAGCCCCAGCCCTGAGGGGCGCCTTTGCTGTGAGGGAAAAGAGTAGGTGTGATGTGAACTGGAGACCTACTTCTGATGGTGCCGAGGGCGCGGACAACTCCCTTGCTTAGTCCAAGTTTGTGGAAAGGATGAGATCCATATAGAGATTGATGGTCAGTTCCCGTAGGTGGTTTGGTTTTGTTGTTGCTGAGGATTGAGCCCAGGAGGATCTCATCCTTGCTAAGCTCTTGTTCTACCACTAAGCTATATCCCTAGCTCCTCCATTTTTTTCCCAATATTTTGTTTTTTAGTTGTAGTTGGACACAATACCTTTTTTTTATGTGTGGTGCTGAGGATCGAACCCAGGGCCACACACCAGGTCAGCGCTCTGCCACTGAGCCACAATGCCAGCCCTCCTCCATTTTTTCCCCAGAACTTTCTCTTTGTTCTCACCTAAACAAGAGTCGAAAGTTGAGAATACAGGTGTGGGTGGAGGGGCTAGTGAGTTCTGCTGTGCCAACTGAGAAACAAATAGGTAGTACTTTTTTGTGTGTTTGACTCAAAAGGGTGTTGGCTAAACCAGTTTATCCTGGATGTGCGTAGGTTCATAGAAAATTAAATATTCCAGCAAATTGACTTCCTTATCCCCAGTGTATCTCCTTATGTTTGGGAAATACTCCAGTCCTTTGCCAAATAATTTGCAGAAAAGAGAAGACTTGACACCAATACATTTTTCTTGGGATAGTTAATATAGAATGGATAGGAAAATATGGACAGCATCCAGTAGAGATTAGTGAAGGGTTGTTTTGAAATTTTACAGAAAAGTGGGGCTTAGTTGTACATAGGGGCCTATAGATTCCCTAAGACCTTTAAGAGTATTTTTGCTCCTGTCCCCTACCCTAAAATGACACATCCCTATACTGGCTCCTGAATTCAGAGTGTTCCTATTCCCACTCACCCACCCTCCCCCCCCAACACACACACACTCTGGCCTCCACCTGACAAACCAGTGTTAAAGAGGCCAGGGGTGAGGGGTGTCTGTTTTCTCCTTTCTCTTCTACAGAGAAGAGATGTCTCTGGGAAGGGAAATTTGTGAGGATTTTAGGTGAGCCCGAACCTTCGTTTTTCAAAGCCGAAGTTCAGTTTATCTCCATGCCCCTGACAAGAAGCTTAGGACACCACATCTTTGTATGTGGTGCTGAGGATCGAACCCAGGCCACATGCATGCCAGGCGAGCGCGCTACCGCTTGAGCCACACCCCCAGCCCGGGAGGTCTATTCTAAAAGCTGAGAATTTCCTAGAATTTGACTAAGGGCCTAGGATGGCTTCTACTTAAGATTCCCCTTCCCCTACACTTGTATGGAAATCTTAAGATTTCCTCCATGCTTCTTTCTTCCTTAACTTCAATCTGATAGAGAAAAGTTGGACAATACCTCTGCACCCTATTTAGGACTTGGCCATAAGTATCTGCATAGAGAAAAGTGAAGCATTCTGGTCCAAGAGATAAAGTGGACAACCCAAGTTGTGGAGTCGGAGAGAAAGCTTGATTTTTCTGAGGACAATTTTCCATGTTTTAAAGGGAGCATAGGAATACTACCCGGCAAATGAGACAGCGAAAGCATAGCACTTGGCACAACACAGATGTTCAGGGGTATTCTGGCAGGTAGGGGTAGAGTGGACAAAAAGTTTCAGGATGTTCCCCAGAGACTTAATGGGTCAAAATTCCCTAAGGCTGAGGCATCTACTAGTTAGAAGTTATAGAAGAACCAATAATTAATGAATTGACCTTTGCTGACATTGTGCTTGCTTGCTACGAAGGGTGGGATGGCATAACTCTTGACATACCTTTCCCCACTGCAACACCAGTTATAAAGGTGATGATGTGGTAGTTGATTGATAGCATCACCTCAGCACCCAAATCAGTGCACTGCACACAATATTAAGCAGTCAGTTAATGTTTGAGGGATGAGTATAAGGAGATGCCATCCTAGGATAGCCTACTTTATTCCTACAATCCTAACAAAAGAGGGCAAGATAAAATGATTAAAGAAATTGTGTCAGTGTACATATCGTTTGGTGCTTCAAGTCAATTCAGTAATTGGTACAATAATCATCAAGCACTTACCATTTTATTGCTTGCAATATAACACTCCCTTGGTCCTTTTAGAGCAAAACTGCAAGAAAAGTTCTGCCTGTTGTCACCATTTCTGAATGCCATTTAAAAATTCTTACTACTGGCCAGGTATGGTGGTGCTCACTCGCCTGTAATCCCAGTGGCTTGGGAGGCTGGAATAGGAGGATAGATAGAGAGTTCAACGCCAGCCTCAGCAACAGCAAAGTGCTAAGCAACTCAGTGAGACCCTGCCTCTAAATGGAATGCAAAACAGGGCTGAGGATGTGGCTCAGTGGTTGAGTGCCCCTGAGTTCAATCCCCAGTACAAAACAAAACAAACTTACTATCTTCTGACTGTGCTGCCCCTACACACACACACAAGTAATCATCTTCTCCCGCAGTCAGTCTCTCTCCTCTCTCTCTCCTCCCCCGCCCCCCTCTCTTTTTCAGGGTGTCTAACATACCAGAAGATGGAGCCAAGATCCAGAGTGGTGCAAGAATTTCCTGAGTTTCTGGAAAACTAGATTAAACAGCTTTCTCTGACAACCCTTGATTCCATCACCAATGAAACTGGAGAACCAACTCTAACCATCCCTACTCCCAGGTGAGGGGACTAAATGGGAATTACTGAGAGGCTCAGTCACCCACAAGCTCATTTCCCTTCATCCTTTGCTACAAATCCAACCATGTTTCTATTTTTACTGTGTAAACTAATCAAATGTGGGGTTATCCTGTATCACAGATATAACAATGGAAAGGGAGAGAAGAGATAAAGGAAGTTGGGAGCTGGGGTGGGAGGGAGCAGAGGCAGGAGGCAGCTACCTCCCCCAAGGCGGTGGGGAAGTGCGTGGGAGTAGAGTGTACTAGTGAAGAAAGCCTGAGTGGGCAGGTCCTGGACTCCGAAGCCAGCAGGGCTCAGATCAAGAGGTATCTAAGGTCCCTCTTAAGTACCATGGTACGAAGGGACTCTGAGGGTGACCAGCCTTAAAGCTGTTATGTCCATTTATTATAATAACTTCTTGTTGCTGTTGCTGTTTACCATATACCAAGCCCTCTGTCAGACCATTTATATAAAATTTACCCGAACATTTGAGAGTGATACTAATATTCTTATCTATAAATATGAAAATTTAGGCTTAGAGAAATTAAGTAGTTCGGAAAAAAAAAAGTTAATGGTAGGTCCGGGATTTATCCTCGGTTTGTCCAAAGTCAAGCTCTTAGTTTCCATCCTGCCTTAAGGATCATGTATAAGAAAATTTATGGTTAAAGGGAAATAGTTGCCATTTCCGGTCATTTCTGTCCCACTCTTGCTCTGGAGAACTCTGCCCTGTTCTCGAAGGCGCTGGACCATTGTTGCTGCTTGGGGATTGGGCTGAAACGCCGCGGGTTTCTCAGTTTCAGGTGTGTGTAACAGTTTCCTTCTTCCGGGTCACCGGAACCACTCTCACAGCGACTGGTGCTGCCTGGGGGTGTGCCTCCTGGGAGCTCCGGGAGGTGGTTCCCGGACGGAGTGACAGCTCTGATAACCTATAGGCAGGGACATTGTTGGGGTAGAGCCAATCAGGAATCTGGTGAAAGAGCCGGCGTTAACCTGAGGACGCAGGCGCTGGCTGGAGGGAACATGGGCTGGTACCCGGGGTGGCGACGGCTGCGGCTCCCCGAGTTACCGGCCCGCAAGCTACATACGGTGCGTGAGGTATCCCGAATTCCCCAGCCGTCGGGCCACGTATTTCGGGACCGGGCCACCCTGCCCTAAAACTAGCCATCTCTTCCTCCTCAGAGGCCCGGGGAGGGTAGAGGCCCGTAGGACCTCAGCCTGAGGCCCTGTGTCACCCAGTCCTCTTCTACACCAAGGGTTAGGGTCAGGGCCACCCCAGTGCCCAGTGATGGGACCTGCTTACCCCTAACCTCTTCCCTCAGGCCTCCGTGCCGGCCCCTGCGCCCTGGTTGGTAGAACGGCTCGGTCTCTTTGAGGAGCTATGGGCTGCTCAGGTAAAGCGGTTAGCCAGCAAGGCACACAGGGAACCCCGGCCCATCACAGTGACCCTTCCTGGAGGCCAGAAGGTGGAGGCAGTGGCGTGGAGCACGACCCCTTACCAGCTAGCCCGGCGGATCAGGTATCGGGCCCGTCCTGTTCTGTCACCAAGCACCTCTGCCCTTTTCTTACTGTGCACCTGATCAGGGAAGGAAAACTGGGTCTGCGTACTTCTGTGTCATCCCCATTGAGACAGCCTTTCCTGAGTTTTTTGTTTTTATTACTGTCTTTTGTACTGCGAGATTGAACCCAGGGGCGCTTACCACTTAGCCACATCCCCAGCCCTTTTAATTTTTTAATTTGAGACAGGGTCTCAAATTGCTTAGGGCCTGGCTAGATTGCTGAGGTTGGACTGGGACTTGTGATTCTCCTGCCTCACCCTCCTAAGTGGCTGGAATTACAGGCATGGGCCACCATAGGCAGCTCCTAAGAAATTTTATCTGCATTAGTTTGAGAGTTTCTGCCCTTACTCTGTTATCTGCTGGGGATGTAGCTCAGTAGTAGAGCACTTAGCATTCATGAGGCAAGATAGGTTTCATTGCTCTACAAACTCATTTCCCCTTTGTAGATTGAGAGCTGCCAAGAGATTAGCTCCTCCTTCCCCTGTAGATTGTAACCTGGGCTTTTCTTCATCCCCATTCTCCACTGCTGAAGTTTAACACTAGCAGATACAGCAGTGGCTGCGCAAGTGAATGGAGAACCTTATGATCTGGAGCGACCCTTGGAGACAGATTCTGATCTCAGATTTCTGACATTTGATTCTCCAGAAGGGAAAGCGGTAAGTTTCTTCCATATGGTGAGTACAGTGCTTAGCAAAATAAGAGGCAATTAAGTAGGAGACTCTAACACTTGTTTTGCCTCATTTTCTCCATTTGCAATTGGGATGGAGACTTGTCAGACACTATTAACTGCCTGATTTTTTTTTTTTTTTTTTTTTTTTGGTACCAGGGATTGAACCCAGGAGTGTCTAACCACTGAACCACATCTCCAGCCCATGTTATTTTTTATGTTGAGACAGGGTCTCGCTAAGTTGCTCAGGACCTCACTAAGTTATTGAATTTGGCTTTGAACTTGTGATCTTCCTACCGCATCCTCCCATGTGGCTTGGATTTCAGGCATGTGCCACTACACCTGGTTTTGATGAAAGGTTTTACTTGGTCTTAGTCTATTAAGCAAACATCACTTGTGCTAGCAAAAGGAAGAAATAATAAGTTGAAAAGCAGAATTATAATAGGCCTGTTCAACCTCCTTAACTCTTGAACACATACATTGTAAGTCATCCATGGTATACAGTTCTAATATGGCTTTCACAACTGAGTAAACAGCCTGGTCCCCTCCCACTTTGTTCTCTTCATGTCAGCTCAGAAAACATAGACCTTGTCAATGATCCAGAAAAATGCGGTTCTTATGTCATCTTTGTATGGACAGTGACCAAATCCTAGAAATGTAGCTGCATTGCACTAGATTCCTGAGCTTGAAAAAAGTAGAACCAAAAGACCAAACAAGGCTGGAATGTAGTTCAGTGGTAGAATGCTTGCCGAGCTGCATGCACAAGGCCCTGGATTCAGTCCCCAACTCCAAAAAAGAAGACTGACTGGCTTCCTGCTTCTATACTGTAGGACTGGGAAGCACCAAGGATTTAGGAGTGGAGTTGTGGCTTCTGTGTACTGAAAAAAATAAAGGATACTGGCTTTCTGCTTTTCTTTTTTTTCTTTATTTATTTTCTAACTTGTTAGTATTTAGTGGTCACCTCCAAAGTCAGTTCTCCATTTTGTGATATTTATTCTTAAGTGAACCATATTGATTTTCCTATCAGCTTCTCTGAGGAAAGGATCAAAGATCTAGGGGTTAAGAGAAATTTATGAACTCACGAATTCTTTTCTTATAAACCTAGGTATTCTGGCACTCTAGCACCCATGTCCTGGGGGCAGCAGCTGAACAATTTCTAGGTGCTATTCTATGCCGAGGTCCAAGTACACAATGTGGCTTTTACCATGATTTCTTCCTGGGAAAAGAGCGGTAAGTTCCACAAGGAAGAATGATTCTGGAATGGTTTCTAAAACCTCAGGAGTGTTCAGTTTGGAAGAGAAATCTGGGTGAGGGCCTCTCAAGTCCTCAACTGTGATACTGGCATCAACATCACCATTAGGTCACATCCCTCTTCATTTAACTCTGCTTAAAACTTACCTCCTGTAGTCTTCATGAATTCTTCAAATTTTACTTCATCTCCTTATTACTATTGTCCTAATTTTGCCCTTCCAGAGTCCCTACACTTAAATTTTATTTATTTATTTATTTATTTATTAGTACTAAGGATTGAAAAGGGGTACTTTATCACAAAGCTACCTCCCCAACCTCATTTATTTACTTATACATACATACATACTAGGGATTGAACCCAGGGATGCTTAACTACTGAGTCGTATCCCCATCCCTTTTTATTTTTTATTTTGGGACAGGGTCTCACTGATTTGCTTAGGGCCTGGCTAAATTGCTGAAGCTGGCTTTGAACTTCTGATCCTCCTGCCTCAGCCTTATGAGCTGCTGGGATTATAGGTAATGCCTAGATCCCTATGTCTAGCTCAACTTAAATTTATTTTTTTTTTTTTCAATTTTTTTTTAGTTTTCGGCGGACATAACATCTTTGTTTGTATGTGGTGCTGAGGATCGAACCCGGGCCGCACGCACGCCAGGCGAGCACGCTACCACTTGAGCCACATCCCCAGCCCTCAACTTAAATTTAAGCATAGAAATTTTCTTCCATTGTGGCTCAAGTGGTAGCACGCTGACCTGGCATGCGCAAGTCACTGGGTTCAATCCTCAACACCACATAAAAATATTAAAAAAAAAAATACACCATATTTATTTTAAAAAAGAAAGAAAAAGAAATTTTCTTCCAAAATTAACCTTGGGCTGGGGTTATACAGCCCAGTGGTAGAGTGCTTGCCTAACATGCACAAGGCCCTGGGTTTGATCACCAGCATCACAGTGGGTAGAGGAGCTGTACCTTATTTCGTATTTATTTTCTTCTTGTTTGTCTGTCTTTGCCCATAATTCTAGGTTTTTTGTTTTTTGGGATTTTTTTGTTATTGTTGTTTTTTGGTACCAGGGATTGAACTCAGGGGCACTTAACCACTGAACCACATCCCCAACCTTTTCTGTATTTTATTTAGAGACAGGGTCTCACTGAGTTGGTTAGGGTCTTGCTAAATTGCTGAGGCTGGCTTTGAACTCACAATCCTTCTGCTTCAGCCTTTCAAGCCACTGGGATTACAGGCATGTGCCACCACACCCATCTTAGATTCTTTTTTCTTTGAAGAGCAAAATTTTACCCCCTGGCCAACTGGTGTGTCATCCAGGTGATGCATCTTAGAGGAAGCAAGCCAACCAACTCTCCTCTTTACAGGACAGTGCGGGGCACAGATCTGCCTGTTTTGGAGAGGATTTGCCAGGAGATTACAGCTGCTGCACAACCCTTCCGGAGACTGGAGGCTTCCCAGGATCAGCTTCGTCAGCTCTTCAAGGTGGGGTAATAAAGCATATTTTTAGGAGGAAGCCTGAGGCTTGAGGGAATGGGTAGCTCTTTCCCAGGACGTCTTTGTGGGAATAAAGACTCTGCATTACTCTTCCCTTCTGCCTCCTTCTAGGATAACCCCTTTAAGCTTCATCTGATTGAGGAGAAAGTGACTGGCCCAACAGCAACAGTGTATGGGTGAGTGCTGTCAAATTAAAGAAAACAGGGAGAGGGCTGGGACGGAGGTGGGTAGAGTGCTTGCCTAGCTGGCATGTCCAAGGCTCTCAGTTTGATCCCTAGCATGTTTTTAAAAAAAAAAAAAAAAGAAGAAGAAGAAGAGAAAACAGAGCAAGGTGGGGAAGTAGTGAAGAAGGTCAGAAATAGGATAAGGGAAGGAAGATAAAAGATGATATATTACTCCTGGAAGAGAAATGGGAAGAAGAATTAACTTTTATCTGCCATTGCTCTGTCTGTGGAATAGTTCCTTCCTCTTCATTTTTTTCAGTCAACTAATGGCCATGAAAAGGAGAAAATTAGGCACTTTAGAATCTGGAAAGCACTAACTGGCTTCTTTCTCCCAGGTGTGGCATGTTGGTTGATCTTTGCCAGGGGCCCCACCTTCGGCACACTGGACAGATTGGAAAACTGAAGCTGCTAACGGTCAGTTGTGAAGGTATAGTTAGGTTGAGATTCCTGTTTTCACAGGAGTGAGCAAGAGAATGTAAAGATGATCTTCTTTCCTAGCCTCTTCTCTGTTCTTGTGGCTAAGGAGGGAACCCAGAAGGAGAAAGATACTTAGTCCCTGCACTCAAAAATCTCCTGGTTTGATGGCAGATTCTGCATATCCTGCCAGAGCCCAGAAACCAATTCAATGCCCCCTTCTCCAATCCCCAGGACTGGGGATTGAATCCAAGGGTACTCTACCCCTGAAGAGCATCCCTAGCCCTTTTTATTTTGAGATAGGGTCTCAGTAAGTTGCCCAGCTGGCATTGAACTTACAATCCTCCTGCCTCAGCTTCCTGAGTTAGCTGGGATTATAGGCATGTGCCACTATACCTAGCCAGAAGTCAATTTAAATTTGAGCCAGGTACGGTGGTGCATGCCTGTAATTCCAGCAGCTACAAGGCTGAGGCAGTTCAATTTCAAGACTAGCCTTGACAATTTAACAAGACCCTACCTTAAAATAGAAAAATCCTCACTGAGCTGGGTGGTATAATGCTTCTGGGTTCGATCCCCAATACTGAAAAAAATAAAATCCTGATCTGGGGCTGGGGCTCAGAGGTAGAGCACTCGCCTAGCATACGTGAGGCACTGGGTTCAATCCTCAGCACCACATAAAGTAAAATAAAGACATTGTGTCCACCTATAACTAAAAAATAAATAATTTTAAAAAATAATAATAAAAAAAATAAAATCCTTAGTCTGACATCAATGTTAAGGAAGATGGAGCAGGAGAGTGAGCAGGTTAGACGGGGAAGAAGCCTGAAGAGAGAGGGTGCATGGGCCAGGAGGATGGATGATTACCATTTGACAGGCACAGGGAAAATAACCTCAGACAAGGGCATACCTTCTATGAAAATGTTGTTCCTGGACGAGGCAAGTTGCTAGAGCAGGGAGCAAAGGGACAGGCAGAAATACAGAACAAAAGCCCTGCATTGAAAACTTAGCCCTTTGCATTACTCTTCACTCTGCCTCTAATGAGATGTGTGGCTTTGGGTAAGCCTCCTTACCCATTTCCCTGTCTACAAAATGAGGCTATTCCGGTACTATGGGTAAATTAATATCATAGAAACAATGAAAGTGAACAGACACAGGAGAAAGTATATGAGGAAATGTGCTATAAAATGTAGCATGTTTCAAGCTGGGCACAGTGGTGCCCATAATCCCAGTGGCTGGGGAAGCTGAGACAGGAGGATCATGAGTTCAAAGCCAGCCTCAGTAACAGTGAGGTGCTAAGCAATTTAGTGAGACCTTGTCTCTAAATAAAATACACAATAGGGCTGGGGATGTGGCTCAGTTTTTGAGTGCCCCTGAGTTCAATCCCCAGTACCCCGCCAAAAAAGAAGGATGTTTCAGGGCTGAAGATGTAGATCAGTGGTGGAGTGCTTGCCTAGCATGCATGAAGCCTTCAGTTCTGTCCCCAGTATTAGGGGAGAAAAGTAGGCTCTGATAGTATCTTTAAAGAAAAGAGCAAGCCAGGCATGGTGGCACACACCTATAATCCCAGCTGCTTAGGAGGCTGAGGCAGGAAGATTGTGAGTTCAAAGCCAGCCTCAGCAACTTAGCAAGGCCCTAAGCAACTTAGTGAGACCGTGTCTCAAAAATAAAAAGGCTGGGGCTGTAGCTCAGTGGTAGAGTGCTTTTGTTTGATCCTCAGCACCACATAAAAATGAACAAATAAAAATAAAGTTATTGGAGCTGGAGTTGTGGCTTAGTGGTAGAGTGCTTGCCTAGCATGCACAAGGCACTGGGTTTGATCCTCAGCATCCCATAAATGTAAAATAAAGATATTATGTCCACCTAGAACTAAAAAATAAATATTTTTTAAAAATAAATAAAGTTATTAAAGATAAATAAATAAATGAAAAGTATGGGGATGTGGTTCAGTGATTAAATGCTCCTGGATTGAGCTCCTAGTACTAAAAAAAGAAAGAATTTCACTTGACAGTAATAGATTGGAGTATGAAAGGTTGATTACTTTTCTAACAGGGGATAGACAGACGGACATTTGACTGGAATTTAGTTACTCCCCTATGCAGTTACTGACTGGAAGAGGAAGGAATTAAGCACATGGGTAATGGTTGGGCAGTGAGAATGGGGAGAAAAAGTAGTGCCTGATAAGGTCAGATTTGACAAGGACGTGTGCAGGAATCAAGTCAGCCAAGGCTGTGAATGTGGCCAGGGAGTCAAGAGGATGGAGGGGCCACCCTGCTGTTGATGATGGTAGAAAAGGTGATGAGGGAGATGAGGTGGGATCGTTGTCAAAGGACATACCTGTGACGTTGACACTGAGAGTATCATGAGGCTTAAAAGAGGTAGGTGCACTCTGTCCTCATCGTACACACCCCTTTGTTTGTGTGGTGCTTGGAATTGAGCACAGGGCCTCACTGTGCTAGCCAAGTGCTCTATCACTGAACTGTTTCCAACTCTTTTTCAGTTTTTATTTTGAGTCAGGGTCTTGCTAAGTTATCTTAAGGTATACTTGAACTTGTAATACTTCTGCCTTAGTCTCCAGAGTCTCTAGGATTGTAGGTGTGCATAACATAATCCTAGCAACTCCAGAGGCAAAGTGCCCCTGGGTTCCATCCCCAGTACTGAGGGGGGAAAAAAGGCTTGTGTCATCTTGCCTGGCCTCATCTTGCCTTTGATTTCCTCTGTCCTCCTACAGAACTCATCATCCTTGTGGAGGACTTCAGGGGCTCCAGAAGCACTGCAGAGAGTATCAGGGATTTCCTTCCCTACAGCAGAGTTGCTGAGGGCCTGGGAAGCACAGAAGGAGGAAGCGGAGTTGCGGGACCACAGACGTGTTGGAAAGGTACCAACCTTTTTTTTTGGTATTGGGTATTGAACCCAGGAGTGGTATTACCCCTGAGGTATATCTCCAGTCTTTTATTTTGAGACAAAGTCTCTCTAAATTGCTGAGGGCCACACTAAGTTGCCGAGGCTGGCTTCCAACTTGAGATCCTTCTGCCTCAGCCTCCCAGGTCACTGGGATTACAAGCCTGCACCACCACACCCATACAGGATCCAGATTGCAGAAACAGGATAGAGTCTGCTGGGTTTCTGTTCTCGCTACTAAAAGGCTCAGAGGTCACTCCAGTTGAACTGGGATGACTGGGCTGCACGAAATAACCCCACAAGAGACACAAATACCTTTCTCTTTGGGGTTGCTGTGACGGCTCCTCTGACCTTAAGGGTCCGCAGGAAGAGAGAGTGAGCACACACTGACCCCTTTTATTGAGGAGAAGCTATTCAAATGAGGCAAGGGGTCAGGTTTCAGGGGGCTGAGTATCTTCATGATGTCCACTGTCAGCAGGTTGACTGACACCTGGGTAGGCCACACCCAAGGGCACAGTAAGAGAAGGGGACACACACACAAGGCACTTCCATGGAAGATTCTATCCTAAACAGGGCAAGGGGTTAGATTACAAAGGAGCAGGTGAGCGTAGCTTCACCCATGGGGCTGTAGCAAGACACACCCATGCACGAGACACCGACCCTCGCACCCAAGAAGGGTGGGGAAAGCTCTGCCACATTTCTGTGACTGAGCGCCTCAGCACCCAGCCTGGGAGTGTGACTTAGTCACGCGTAAGGTTGGTCTCCCACAGAGTCAGTCAAACAAACTGAACTACTCTGCCGGTTGTTTCCTGTGGTTCTAAAGCCCTCCCTTCTCCTTTGTAACAATTACCGTTCTGTCCCCAGGAACAGGAGCTTTTCTTCTTCCATGAACTGAGCCCTGGGAGCTGTTTCTTCCTGCCGCGAGGGACAAGGGTGTATAATGCGCTGGTGGCTTTTATCAGAGTAAGGGGAACCAAAGTTCAGGGAAGACCAGGGAGGGTTGGGGAAGAAGCCAAGATATTTGAGTTTTAAAAGAGGGATCAGGCAGGGAGCATGGTGCACATCCATAATCCCAGTGACTCAGGAGGTTGAGGCAGGAGGTTTACAAGTTTCAGGCCAGTCTCAGCAAAAGGTTGGGAATAAAATTCAGTGAAAGTACCCTTGTGTTCAATCCCCAGTACCAAAAAAAAAAAAAAGTGGGATCAGAAGCATAAACATAAATATTATAAAGTGCTACAAACCTTTAGCAAGGTGCTGTAGTTGTAGGTGTGCAGTAGGGGAGCATGCACACCGTACGTAGGACATGGTATTTAATAGCTTATGGCTGCCAGCTAGAATGATCTGAGAGCCCAGGAGTATCAACCAAGTCCTTCCCTGCCTCTCCTTTCACAGTTACACTGACCTCCCATGTCTGTACCCTCCTGTCCAGGCTGAGTACGCCCGCCGTGGTTTCTCAGAGGTGAAAACCCCCACAATGTTTTCTACGAAACTCTGGGAACAGTCAGGGCACTGGGAGCATTATAGGGAAGACATGTTTGCTCTGAAGCCCCCAGGCTCTGACAGGTCCACCAGCTCCCAGAGGGACGGCTCTGCCAAGCATCCCACAAATACATTCGCCCTCAAGCCCATGAACTGCCCTGCACACTGGTAAGCTGGGAGCCAGGAGGCCTGGGTCATTCCCCTCTCACCCCCGCCCCTGGGCTGGGGTTATAACTGCTAAATGTAAAGTCATAGAAAGCACCTTGGAATGAGTACTAAGACACCTAATTTGAATCTTGATGTGAAATTGAAAAAAATTGTTCTACCTCTTGGGTCTTGGTCTCCTTAAAAGTAACATCAAGGCTGTACCCGTCACAAACAGAAGCACAGTAAATGATGCCTGTTACTAAGTGACAGAAATTCACTTTTGAATCAGGATGGCTCAGACAGGACTTAGTGAAAGCACATGCCAAGGTGGAGAAGGTGGTAGTTGATGATGCGAGAAAATAAGCAGATTAAGGCCAGGAGGAGCAGTCTTCAAGGGCTAGTTCTCCCTGTAGCCCTGACCCCCTCCCCACCCCAATCTCAGCTTGATATTCGCCCATCGGCCCAGATCCTGGCGAGAGCTGCCCATGCGACTGGCTGACTTTGGAGCCCTGCACCGAGCCGAGGCCTCTGGCAGTCTGGGGGGACTGACCCGGCTATGGCGCTTCCAACAGGATGACGCTCACATCTTCTGTGCACCAGATCAGGTAGCCCTTCCTGAGCTCCACCAAAGGGTCTTTTGAATCATCTTTCATTCTCCGACCTCCAACATCCCATTCTTTCAGTTGCCCTCTAGATATACTACAAGTTGCCTACCTGTCGCCCCCAGCTTTCTTCTGCTATCTATGTCTTTGCCCCTGTTTTCCCCAAACTACCATCACCCCAGATCACCAACTGGCACACAGCTCACCCATTCAGTCTCTCTTTTTTTTTTTTTAAATAAATTTTTAGTTGTAGATGGACACAATACCTTTATTTTATTTATTTTTATGTGGTGCTGAGGATCAAACCCAGTGTCCCACACATGCCAGGCAGGCGCTGTACCACTGAGCCCCAGCCCCACAGCTCACCCATTCTTATTTCCTACCTCTAGCTGGAAACAGAGATCCGAAGCTGTCTTGATTTCCTCCGCTCTGTCTATGCTGTTCTTGGCTTCTCCTTCCGCCTGGCACTGTCCACCCGGCCATCCGGCTTCCTTGGAGAACCTTGCCTTTGGGATCAGGCTGAGCAGGTGAGCAGCAGATAGGGAAGCGGAGACAGATGGATCACTCTCCAGTGGAAAGGGAGGGAATACGACAACCAAGGTCCTCAGATAGAGGAATATGCTGAGGATGTCATTAGTTGGACTGGAGGTGTGTCTTGCTCAGATGAAGTGAAGTCTCAGATGATGTTTTCTTTTCTTGTCGCATGCCCTCTAAAGGTCCTTCAACAGGCCTTGGAGGATTTTGGAGAACCCTGGGATCTCAACCCTGGAGATGGTGCCTTCTATGGACCTAAGGTAAACTAGGGATTCTGCTTAGAATTTTACTTATTCAAATTTTGGTTTGTTTTTTTTAAAATATTTAGTGACACAAAGAAATATTTTTAAACTTAACGTAGGATGTAAAGAAGAGCAGTACAAGCCGGGCCTAGTGGTACACGCCTATAATCCCAGGGGCTCAAGTAGCTGAGGCAGGAGGATTGCTAGTCCAAAGCCAGCCTCAGCAGCTTAGCAAAGCCCTAAGCAACTCAGCAAGATCCTGTCTCTAAATAAAATGCAAGAAAAGGGGCTGGGAATGTGGCTCAGTTGTTAAGCACCCCTGGGTTCAATCCCTGATACCAAAAAAAAAAGCAGTACATTTCTTGCTTCCATGGAACTTGGCATAGTTGTGAAAGATAAATAGGAGACATCAACACCATGGATCAGTGCTGTGTAGCTATTAAGGGGGCACAACAGGGGGGTTATCATGGCTCAGGGGACAGGAAAGGCTTCCTGAAGGGATCACTCTCCAGTCTAAATGTATTTATAGACCAAGTAAAGATCTGTTTCTGGCCCAGGCACCATGGTACATACCTGAAATCCTAACAACTTGGGAGGATGAGGCAGGAGGATCACAAGTTTGAGGCCAGTCTTGCCAACAGACCCTGACCAAAAATAAAAAGGACAGGGGATACAGCTTAGTGGTAAAGCATCCCTGGGTTCAGTCCTCCCCTCACCCCTGACCAAACCCCTGCCCCCGCAAAAGAAATGTTTCTGGAGGAACAGTGTACGTAGAGACCAGAGCTAGGGATGAGAACTCATGGCAAGTTGGAAAAAAAGCCAGGCGTGGTGGCGCACACCTGTAACCCAGCAACTTGGGAGACAGAAGCAGGAGGATCACAAGTTCAAAGCCAGCCTCAGCAACTTAATGAGGCCCTAAACAACTTACTAGGCCCTGCATCAAGATAGAAAGGACTGGGGATGTAAAGTGCCCCTGGGTTCAGTCACTGGTATGAAGGAAGGAAGTGGGGAGGGGAGAGAAGAGAGGAAGAAAAAAATACATAAATGTAAAGAAAGAAAATCAGTGGAAAAAATAATATAAATGTTGCCTAAATTCAGTAAAAAGGCTGTTAGGAGTTCAGTGCAGGGGCCTGGAATGTGGCCTATAGTCCTAGCTACTCAGGAAGCTGAGGCAAGAGAGTCACTTCAGCCTGGGAATATGAAGCCAACCTGGGGACACAACCCTACCTCAAAAACAAAACAAAACCACCACACACATGCCCAGAGGACTGGAGATGTAGCTCAGAGAGACAGCACTCCCCTGGCATGCCTACAGCCCCTGGGTTCAGTTCCCAGCACTGCAAAGGAACAAGCAAAAAAAAACAGACAAAAATGCAAAAGGCTATTAGGTGCTCCTTTTGGTTTTGTTTTGCAGTACTGGGGACTGAACCCAGGACTGTTCATATAAGGCGAACACTCTACTATTTAAGGTACATCCTTAGCCCTTTTGATATTTATTTTCAGACAGGGTCTCACTAAGTTTCTTTATTTTTCAGGGGCGGGGGGGGGGGGTGGTTACCAGGAATTAAATTCAAGTGCACTCAACCACTGAGCCACATTCCCAGCCCTATTTTGTATTTTATTTAGAAACAGGGTCTCACTGAGTTGCTTAGGGCCTCGACATTGCTGAGGCTGAATTTGAACTCGAGATCTTCCTGCCCCAGTCTTCTGAGCTGCTGGGTTACAGGCGTGCACCACTGCACCTAGCTCACTAACCCTCTAAAGCTAGCCTCACACTTTCAGTCCTCCTGCTCAGTCTCACAAGTAGTGGCGATTATAGGTGTGTGCTGCCATACCTGGTGGCTATTAGATTTTGAAGGACTGTTTTCCAGTGGGGATGGAGTCAGACAGAAGTGAATGAGTGAACATAATTCTTTCAAGAATTTTGGCTCTTTTAAAGGCAGAAAGGGATCTGAATAGTCAAAAATTTTTATGAAGGGAGAGATTTGAGAATGTTTAAGTGCTGTGATGAGAAGGGGACTTGTTTATGGGGTGTCAAAGTAAACAAAGTGAATTATAAGAAAAAAGATTGCAGAAGAGGGAAGTAGAAAATTCCTGGGGAGGCTTGAGGTGGGATCAGGAGCCCTGTGCAGAAGAGACCACCTTGCCAGTGTGCCCAGGGCAAGAGGAAAGGCTGGGGATAGATGCAAGGAGGTGTATGTGTGGTGAAAGAAGTTGAGTTATTTTCCTATCCCACAGTATCAGTTGTCTGAATTCTTCATGAGATAGACGCAGAATCATTTGCTGAGATGGGAGTGGAAGAGAGGAGAATTGTTAGTGAGGGGGTTGAAGATATGAAGAGAAAGGGGACACAAAAACTATAGTATGAGCCGGGCATAGTGGCACACACCTGTAATTCCAGCAACTCAGGAGGCTGAAGCAGGAAGATCCAAAGTTCAAAATGAACCTCAGCAACTTTGTAAGACTCTAGGCAACTTAGTGAGACTGTCTCAAAATTAAAAAAAAAAAATTTACAAAGGGCTGGAGATATAGCTCAGTGGTAAAGCACTCCTGGGTTCAATCCCCAGTACAAAAAAAAAAGAAAAAACCTAATATGAACTATGCAGCTAAATAAAATCTTTTTAGTGTTTATTAGCTACTGTGGGATGTGCTGGTATTGTTCAGTAACATACATACTATTATTTTTTAAAATATTACTCCTTAGTACAACTATTGTAAATTCTTTAAACTCTTAGTATTATTTTAAAAATAAAATAATAGTATGTATGTTGAACCCCAGGCCTCAAGCATGCTAGGTAAGCACTTTACCTCTGAGCTACATTCCTGCCCTTTTTTTATTTTATTTTATTTTTGAGATAGGATCTTGCTAAATTGATGAGACTGTCCTCAAATTTGCAATCCTTCTGTCTCCACCTCCCAAGTGACTGGGATTATAGGCATGTTCCACTGCACCTGGCTCATTTTTATGTCCCAAATGTTTTGTCTAGCACAGGATATTTATTTAGCAGCTCAAAAAATAGTAAATGAAAATACTAAATAATAATGAAAATGTTTTATTGATTGATTTCATTAATAAAACAAGGCAATAAAATATCTGTTACTTTAAAAAGTTCAGAAAGGTTAAACAGTGTGCTCAAGGCTAGAGATAATAGTTTATTTATTTATTTTTTAAAATATTTATTTATTTTTCGGTGGACACAACATCTTTGCTTGTATGTGGTGCTGAGGATCGAACCCGGGCCGCAAGCATGCCAGGCGAGTGCGCTACCACTTGAGCCATATCCCCAGCCCCATTTTTTTTTTTTTTTTTAATTTTTTAAATATATTTTTTAGTTGTCAATGGACCTTTTATTTTATTTATATGCAGTGCTAGGGACCGAACTCAGGGACTCACACATGCCAAGCAAGCGCTCTACCACTGAGCCACTACTCCAGCCCCGAGATAATAGTTTAAAAGAGACAGAGAAGCCAGGCCTGATAGCGCACTCCTGTAATCCCAACAGCTACAGAGGATGAGGCAGGAGGATCGTGAGTTCAAAGCCAGCCTTGGCAATAGCAAGGCACTAAGCAACTCAGTGAGACCCTGTCTCTAAATAAATTTAAACACAAAATAGGGCTGGGGGTGTGGCTCAGTGGTCCAGTGCCCCTGAGTTCAATCCCCAGTCCCCCAAAAAAGAGGAAAAAAAGCTTGAAAATCTCTGAGCACAACAGGATAGCCAAAGAATTGCTGGCAGCAGCAAGGGACCAGTTGAGTCCTGAAACTGTGACTTCCATGGTGGCATTAATCTCTGCTTTTGCATCTGTGTGTTCTGTGACAAGTTGGCAGCACAGAGCATTTCTATTGCAGAGTCAAGGCAATGGGAGGTTAAGATGGTGCCATGATGGCATTTTGCCACATGGAAGTAACAGAAGAACAATGAATCGTACAAGAAACTAAAAAACTGTTACAGCTGCATGGGGAAAGAAACAGAAGGACTCTGGATGGGGAGAATAAAGAGGAATAAAGGAACTGAAGAGTTGAAGAGCCAGTAGTAGTAGTAATTGTCAGAGTAGGTGTTGGAGGCCCTGCAGGGTTGCCCATGCCTGCAGTCTGAAGTGGCTACTCACTAGGCCCAGGCAAGAGCACCACACATTTGAGGCCATCCTGGGCAATTGAGTGAGACCCTCTCTCAAAATAAACTAAAAGGTTAGGAATATAGGTTGGTAGTAAAGTACTTGGCTAGCATGCCACCCTGGATATAGTCCCCAGTACCACACCACATACACACACAGAAACAAACAGAGTGGGTGTGTGGGCACTGTTCAGAAGCATAGCCACTGGGGTCGGGAGAGGGGCACTGAGGACCAATAGTTAGCTGTAGTGTGCATGGGGCTGCAGGTCTCTGTGAGGAGGAACCCAGAGGAGCTAGGGTGTGGATAAGAGCATCATTAATGGGAGAGAGCCACTTTGCCATAGTGAGATGGAGTACCGTAGAGAGGGGGATTACAGTGGATGACGTGATTCTCCAAATAGCCCTGACATGTGTAGGTGAGAGAGCACATGGTGCAGGTAATGGAAGATACTGCTTCTGCTTTCTCTCATGTCCTCCTGTCCATCTCCTACAGATCGATGTGCACCTCCATGACGCCCTGGGTCGGCCCCATCAGTGTGGAACAATTCAGCTTGACTTCCAGCTGCCCCTGAGATTCAACCTCCAGTACAAGGGGTACAAAAGCTTTTCCCATCCCCCTTTCCCTTGACAGCCGATGGTGAGCCAGCAACTCCCACTCCTATTTTCACCCTAGAAACTGAATCAGACCTCCACATCTTCCCCTGCTAGGACTGTGCACCTAGAAGGTGATCTTATGTGCATAGTTTGTGATACTTTCACTCTTTTTCCTTCCAAGGCAGGCGGGGGCCCTGGAGCGGCCAGTCCTCATTCACAGAGCAGTGCTTGGTTCTGTGGAAAGGCTGTTGGGAGTGCTGGCAGAAAGCTGTGGGGGAAAATGGTGAGCTATCTGATGCTGGCCTTCACGACAGGGAGTTTATATTCCAGCTCCTGTCTCACTTCATGTCCCAGATCTGCTTCCTGCAGCTACACTTCTGGCCAGAGCCGAAATAAATACTTTGCCACCCTGTTTCCTCCCATCCAGGCCACTGTGGCTGTCCCCATTCCAGGTAGTGGTCATCCCTGTGGGAACGGAGCAAGAGGAATATGCCAGAGAGGTGAGGAGTTGGACTCAAGGAAGGGGCAGAAAGGGACAGTAGGGAGTCTGGTGCCAGCACTGGGTACGAAGAGGCTACACCAGCTAGTGGGAAGGGCACAGCCCTTAGAGCCACCAGACTGCACCTGAGTGGCAGCTCTCCTTTATGCTCTAAATTCTCTCCAAAAAGTAAAACCTGCTTTGTGCTCTCTGTATGTATAATGTATGTATATTAGAATAAACAAATAACTTACTGTTTGAGACCTGCTGGGCATGGTGATACACACCTATGATCCCAGTGACCTGGGAAGCTGAGGCAAGATGAGGCAGGAGGACTGAAAGTTCAAGGTCAGCCTAGGTAACTTAGCAAGATCCTGCCAGAAAATAAAAAATCAAAATGAACATCTGGGGTTGTAGTTCAGTGGTGAGGTGTACACAAATGGATCTTGGGTAAAGCTGGTTTTATTTTTCCTTTCTAAAGAGAATCGAGAATATGGGTGGTCCCTACCAGAGGTGAGGGCGAGCAGCAGGCAAAGTCCAGGGGATAATGGAGGGCTTTCTCCAGTGAGAGTCGACACAGATGCTGTGGGTTGGGGATGGAGAGGAGGCCTCAGTATAGCAATGAGATGAGGAAAAAGATAATTTTTGTTATGGGGAGCACTGAGGCAGGGGATGAGGGATAGGAAGTGGGGCAGACCAAGGAAGAAGGATGTTTGACTGTCCTAGCTCCTCAGTCTTCCATTGAATTTATTTCTTGTCACCAAACATGTGTCCCAGATTCAACAGAATCTGCAGGCTGCAGGCCTTGTCAGCGACCTGGATGCTGATTCTGGAGTGACTCTCAGCCGGAGAGTGCGCCGGGCTCAGCTCGCCCACTACAATTTCCAGTTTGGTAAGAGAGAGGCAGCCCAGAACCTCGGAGCTGGGTCTCTCATTCTTCTTTAAGTTCCTTTACCCTGTGCCTCCTCACAACCACTTCTGTCCCTCAGAACAGTTTTCCTCTTATTAACCCCACCCTAGAGGGATTCTTTGGGATTAATTGACAAAGGAAATATCAAAGAGAAAGGGGACCTGAAGGGTTAGTGAGGCATTAATTAATTAGCCTTGTTTATTCTGCACATGAATGGAGTCAGCCCTAAGGATTAAGGAGAAAGCCTTAAGGAGAAAAGTCTAGCACTGCCTTGCTCTCTTCACTCTCCACAGTTCAGAGCTCTTGAAGATAAGGAACAGAAATTCCTCCACCTGATTCTCTAGTTTGGCGTACGCCCCTCACCTACCAGCACCTGGAGCAAGCCACCCCACAGTCCATGGACTTGCAAACACATGTGTCCCAGTCCTGCTGTCTTCCCCTTCCTCTACCTCTGCCTCCCACCCCACTGCTTGCCCCACATTTCTCAGTCCCACATACCATTTCTCTGTGTCTAGTTCTTGGTCTGTTTGGCTCTCTCTGGCTGACTCTAGTATCTCTGACCCTGGGGCTCCTGACCAGAAATGATAATAATGTTCCAGGCTCCGCATTCCTTATCTTCTCAGGATGAGCAGTGAACTGGAGAGAAGGCACAGCTAAATATATTCTTTAAACCATATCTAGACTCTGCTTCCACCCTTCCTAAAGATTTAAGTCTGCAAAGTTTCTGCAAAGCAAAAGGAAATATCCCATGTCGGTGACTTTATCCTGAGATTCCCAAACCTCCCTTCCTCTTCCTGCAGTGGTTGGCCAGCAAGAGCAGAGTAAGAGAACAGTGAACATACGGACTCGCAGTAATCGCCGACTTGGGGAGTGGGACTTGACCAAGGCTGTGCAACGGCTGCTGGAGCTACAGGATACCAGGGTCCCCAATGCTGAGGAAATCTTCTGAGCTTTGTTCATACATGAGACAGAGACCTGCAAGAGCCGTCAGCCTCCCTGATAAACCCGAGCCCTACTAACAGCCTGGAATTGCATGTGTCTGCTCTCCTGAAAAGACTTGGGGGCTGGGGAGGCAGTTCAGTGGCAGAGCACTTGCCTAGCAAGCATGAGGTCCTGGGTTCTATTCCCAGCAATGCAAAAAGAGACTTGGTTTGGGGACCCCACAGCGGGAGGGAAGATATGGTATTTGGATGTGAGGAGAATGAAATGGAAAAAATAAACTTGAAGCTGCTATATTTGTGTCTGATCTCTGACTCCTGAAAGGAGGACAAAAGGGAGTTCCACACTGGCTGGGAATGGGAGCTCGGGAGGCTGAGCAGGAGAATCACAAATTCAAAGCCCCAGCCTCAACAACTTAGGGTCTCACTATCTCAAAAGGGCTGCTGGGCACACGCCTGTAATCCCAGCGGCTCGGGAGGCTGAGGCAGGAGGATGAGTTCAAAGCCAGCCTCAGCAAAAAGCAATGCGCTGAGCAACTCAGTGAGACCCTGTCTCTAAATAAATAACAAAAATGGGCTGGGGATGTGGCTCAGTGGTCGGGTGCCCCTGAGTTCAATCCATGGGAGTTCCACTTTGTTACCCTTGCCCAGAGTTGGGGACAACTCTCAGTGGTAGGGAGCTACCTTAGGCAGCTATCCTGTTCCCAGTGTTAGTTTCTTAGTGCCCTGGTTCCCTAGACCCAGTTCCATAGGTTGTCAGGTCCCTGTTCCGCAGGAGGCAGCATGCAGACATAAAAGTGAGGCATGAACTAAGGGCCCAGATGTCTGCTGCTCCGAGATCTGAACGGGTTTCTCTTAGGGTCCTAGGATTACTTCCTCCCATCACCTTCATTCTTCTCAGTCCTCTGAGGAGGCTTCAGGATGAGTTTGGGAGGAGTGGCTGCTAAAGGAGGAGCAGCTGCACTGAGTCATGGCAGGAAGCTGAAGGGGGCGGGAGATAACAACAGGCAACATATAAAAGGGAGCCAGAGTTGGCCCTGAAGTTCACAATAGCAGTAGCAGCAGCCGGAGCAGCAGGGTTCCTGCAGCACAGCCCTTCCTTCACATCCAGGTCTGCCTGAGACAACCCAGCTTTTAGGTGGCCGGTGACCAGTCCTTGTTCCAGGATGGGGACCATGGCCAGAGTAGCCTTGGTCTTGGCCTATTTGGCTGTCGCCTCTGCCACTTCTGAGGGAGGTGAGTAGGGGTGGGGTCAGCACTAGAGAAGGGCTCTGGCTAGGCAGCTCATCACCAGCAGGATGACTTGGCCTCCCTCTTCTGAGCAGGCCCAAGGTTGGCCTGGCCAACTGGACCTTTTAACCAGGGAGGCAGGGGCAGACAGAGAGGAGTTCCTAGAGGTTACTGCTAAGAAATAAAATTGGATTCAAGTAGGCAACTGAGCGGGTAAGTGGATTCACAGAGGGAAGGGAACTCAGCCTGGGGAGGAGGTATGTGGTGGAGGGACTCCCTCCGAGGCAGGTGAAGCAGGGAAAGGGGCCCCCAGGCTGCTCAAAACCGGTTTGCTGACCCAGAGAGCCTTGCCTGACTCACTGTCTAGTTAGAGGAAGAGTTAAGGGGTTGTCCACTCAGTCTCACCCACTGCTGGGCATAAACACACTCTGCTTTGATGCCTCAACGAAACGGAACTCTGGAGGGAAACTGCCCAGAAGGGCAAGAGAGCTAGTGTGTAAAGCCCTACTCGCTATCATCCCTCCCAGTTCCTAACTTCTTTTTTTCCTGCACATCAGTCACCAGAGATTCCCTTCTCTATGCCTGTCCCATCCTGCAGGTCCTAAATTTGAGACCTAAATTGAGGAGGAGCTGAGACTAGCTAAAGTGAGGCACCTACTCTCCTGGCTGGAGTTCCTTCTCAGGAGGCCTAAAGAGGGTTAAAGGGCCTGGCATAGGAGATTGGTGGAGGAGGTGGGCAGGTGAGGGCTCAACCAGCTCAGGTTCGGCTTCTTCCTCTAAAGCCAGAGGGGCACCACAGCAGAGCAGCTACAGGAAGGGCAGCCACAACCCCTGAGGTAGAGACACTGACAGGAGAAATCAGAACCTCCCTCCCAACCTTCAGACTCAGTCTCTGAGCCAGGCAGAATATCCAGGCTTTCTCAGAACCCTGTCAATAATATCCAGGTGTTTGTGGGGGTGATGAGGGGACATGGGACAAGTATATTATAGAGGTAATTGCCACGTCTTGTCATCTTCCTACACTCTTGACTTCCACAGTCTCCCCATTCCTTGCTCAGAGCCAGAAAGGGCCCCTTAAAACCACCGCCGATTTCCTCTCTCCAGGTCACGAGGCTCCAGGGCAGAAGGAGCTGAGATCAGAGTACCTTCAGGAAGGTAAGAGTTCGGGGACCAGGTGTGGTGGCCCTCTTCTGTAATCCCAGCACCTAGGGAACCTGAGTCAGGAGAATCACAAATTCAAGGCCAGCCTCTGCAATTTATCAGGATCCTGCCTCTTTTTTAAAGAGGTAGGGGTATGACTCGGGGGTTGAGTGCCCTTAAATTCAATCCACACTGTGCAAGCAAAGAAAGAAGTTTAGAAGAGCAACTATGGAACTGAGAGTCCAGGAGGAGCAGGGGGACTCAGAGTTTCTCCTCTTGTCTCTAGCTGGCTACGCAGCACCTCCCTCCCCACCACAGGCCCGAGGCTTCCCCGTGTATCACCTTGACCCTTCCCAGCATGACCTTCCTTTTGAGGGACAGAGGGAAGGTAAGGCCCCACGTGCCCTTCTTAGTTACCCCCTCAAGTCTCTAATCTGAGATGCTCTGGCTCTCAACACGGGAAGGAGGGAAGCAGCTCCACCCCTCTCCCCACTGGCTAGCAGGGGTGAGCTGCTCATACACTCCTCCTTCTATAGTACAGTCCCCTCCCTCTCCAGAAGCCATACCTGTCCAAGAAGAGCTGCCCCCTCCCCACCTCTCTAATGGAAAGAAAGGTGAGTGCTTGCCCACTTTCCTACCTCCCACTAAGATCTTGCTGACGTTGGTCTGCAGTCCTCCCTCCCCTCTGTCTTGCAGTGGATCCGCCTCTTCCTCCGGAAGCCATCCCCCTCCAAGAAGAGTTGCCCCCTCCCCACCCCCGTACTGAACAGAAGGAAAGTAAGCAACTCCCTCTGCACACACCACCTTCACCTAGCCTTACCCTAGAGCAAGGGCCTTGAAGGCACACAAAACAGGCACTGCCATTTCCCATTTAAGTAACCTGGCATGACTCAATTACCAAGCTTTAGTTTCTTCATGTATAAAACTGAGGAAATAATACCTGTTTGATAGTTATGATTAAATGACACAAAAATAGCATTTATTTTCACTTCTCTACTGCGTTCCTCTTTATAAATGGGGGCTAGCCAGGTGCCTATCTTCTACAAATGCCCATCCCAATGTGATATTTGCTTATACATCTCCTTCTACCCCAGTAGACCCACCTTTCCCATACCAGAAGGAGATTTTCCATTCCCAGCAGAGAGAGGGTGAGTGACAGCATCTGTCTGTCCATACCCTTGCATGACTACTCAAGACTCCAGGGAGAGGAGCAGGGAAACAGCACAGGGAGCAGAAACGTGGGAGGAAGGGACAACTCTGAGGGTGACACATTTCATGCTTCAATTCTCTTTTCCTTTCAGTCAGTCAATCCGAAGGTAAGAACCACAGATTAATTTCTTCATTTTCCCTTACCCTCCTAACCCTTTCTCCTTAACCCCCAGTTCTTTCAATCCTCCCAGTTCACTCAGCCTTTGTCAGTTCCTCCCATCCTCTCTCTTCCCCCTCTGTTCCCCATTCTAGAAAAGCCAGCTCCCCCCATGCGCCAGGATCCCCCAGAGCCTCACTCTTGGAATCCAGCCCAGCACTGCCAACAGGGCCGGTTCCGGGGGGGCTGGGGATACCGGCTGGATGGCTTCCCCCCTGGGCGGCCTTCTCCAGACAATCTGAACCAAATCTGTCTTCCTGAACGTCAACATGTGGTGTACGGCCCCTGGAACCTGCCACAGTCTGGCTACTCCCACCTCAGTCGCCAGGGTGAGACCCTCAATTTGCTGGAGACTGGATACTCCCGCTGCTGTCGCTGCCGCAGCCGCACCAACCGCCTGGACTGTGCAAGGCTTGTGGTAAGATGCTGGGGGTGTCCGTAAGCCCCCAGACAGCATGTGTGTGTTTTAAGGGGTAGACACCTAGGCCTGGGAATGGAGGAACCTCAGGTCCCGTTGCTGGCCCTACCTTGGACCTCTCCAGTAGGAAAGGTAGAGGGCAGCCACTGCTGTTTTCTTCTCCACCTGTCCGGGGTCCTTTCCTGCAGCCTGGGAGGAAGGCAAGGAATATGGACAATGAGTTACTGGGCCTGACCCACCTTCTCACTCTAGTGGGAGGATGCAATGACCCGGTTCTGTGAGGCCGAGTTCTCAGTCAAGACCCGACCCCACTGGTGCTGCAGACAGCAAGGGGAGGCTCGATACTCCTGCTTCCAGGAGGCAGCTCCTCAGCCACACTACCAGCTCCGGGCCTGCCCCACCCACCAGCCTGGTATTTCCTTGGGCCTGGAGCTGCCTTTTCCCCCTGGGATGCCCACATTGGACAATTTCAAGAATGTCTGCCACCTGAGACGCTTCCGCTCCGTGCCACGCAACCTCCCAGCCACTGATCCCATCCAAAGGCAGCTACATGCTCTGACTCAGCTGGAAATGGAGTTCCAGCGCTGCTGTCGCCAGGGAAACAACCTTACCTGTGTATGGAAGGCCGTAAGTGGGCATCCCAGGCCCCTGAGAGCCTGTCTGCATCTCCGACCTCTGCATCCAACGGTCCATCCATGTACTCCCTGTTGTGAGCACGTCCACGTTCGTCTGCTTGTGACTGTCCGTCCACCCGTTGTGTCCATCATCTGAATCTGTGCATCTTGAGCCTTTATATTACGTCCTGGTCTCATCTAACCATGACCCCCCCACACGTCCACCTGTCTGCCACCCGTCCATCCAGCTCTGGCCTCACCTGATCACCTACTGATCACATACTGTTCCAGCTCGTCTCCCGTGGCCAACGCAACCTCCTCTGTGCTTCCTCCCTTCCACCTTCCCAGCCCACCCATCCATAGCTGTCTCCTCGCCCGCTGGCTCTTTGCCCTCCCTTTGACCCCTTGGGTTGGAGTCCCTCATTTCAGAACTGGGGGTGATAAGGGGAGTAGATGGTGAGGAGAGAAGGGACCAAGTGTCCAAGCTTCTGACTTCTCTCTCTGGCCCACAGTGGGAGGATACCCTGGATGGGTACTGTGACAAGGAGCAGGCTACAAAGACCCACCACCACTCCTGTTGCCACTACCCTCCTAGCCCTGCCCGTGATGAGTGCTTTGCCCATCAAGCTCCCTATCCCAACTATGACAGGGACATTTTGACCCTTGACCTCGGCCGAGTCACTCCCAACCTCATGGGCCATCTCTGTGGAAACCGAAGAGTTCTTACCAAGCAGTGAGTCTTGCTCAGATCTTCCCCAATACTCCTCCCTTCCTTCTGGTGTGCCCTTTGAGGAAGGGGAAAAAAAAAAAAAAACATAGTCTCCCTGTACCGCTCGGGTGCCAAGAGACGCCCAGAGATCCTGATCCCTGCCTCTTTCACACCAACATAGTAAACAGATTCCTGGGCTAATCCAGAACATGACTGCCCGCTGCTGTAACCTGCCATTTCCGGAACAGGCCTGCTGTGCTGAAGAGGAGGTAAGTGTGTGAGGAAGGGGTCACAGTCTCCAGAGGAATGCAGGAGAGGGGGAGGAGGGGGCTATAACTGCAGGCTGCCCCTTTTCTTTAGTACCTCAAATCAGCCCACAGAAACAATGAGGACTTGAGGAAGAGGTCTTTTTTTCCTTGGTTCTAGAGTCTTCATTCCTGATCTGGTCTGCTCCCCACTCCTAAGTTCCTATTATGCCTTCTCTGGGCGTCAGAGCTTCCTGGCATTTGCAGATGTGCACATCTGTCAGCCACAAGGAATCCAGCTGTGCAAGGCAGGCATGCACTATCTCTGGGTTCCAGGAAGGGATCCCAGGGGTGAGCAGTACAAGCTGGCCAGAGGAGGACTTTGGGCACCCAAGTAGCCACACTGGATCTCTGACATTTCCCCACCCCCATCATCTCTGCTTTTCTCCTTTTTTTAATATTTATTTTTTAGTTTTAGTTGGACACTATATCTTTGTTTTATTTTTAAGTGGTGCTGAGCATTGAACCCAGTGGCTCATGCATGCTAGGCAAGCGCTCTACCACTGAGCCACAGCCACAGCCCCTGCTTTTCTCCTTTTGTTCATCAGAAATCAGCCTTCGTGGATGATCTGTGTGGTCCCCGACGGAACTTCTGGAGAGATTCTGCCTTCTGCTGTGATCTGAGTCCTGGGGATGAACAGACCAACTGTTTCAACATCAATTATTTGAGGAATGTGGCTCTAGTGGCTGGAGACACTGGGGATGCCAGGGGTCAGGGGGAGCAGGTCCCAACAGGGGGAACAAATATCAGCCCTACCCCTGAGTCCAAGGAAGAATGAGTCACTCCAGAGCTTTAAAGGATCGGATGCGGGGAACCCCACCCTCCTTGAACATTCATTATAGTAACCACCTCTTGGATTTGGTGTCCTCATTGTCTGTAACACACAAACACACCCTCTAAGCCTGCTTGGATTTCCTTCATTGGCCCCTGAGGCCTACTGCCCTGCCCTCACTAAGGAGCAGAGGATGTTCCACAGGCTGTGGTGAGACCATAACTAAATGACTTAACTTTACTACTTGTCATTTTGAACTGATTCACACATTTTAAAGGGAGTGCAACCTTTTTTAGTTAGCTGTCCAATTTCAAGGTGAAAAAAATGCTTCATGCCTATATTTGGGTGTTTTTCTCTTGCTGTTAAAAGTTTTAGCATCATCTCCAATAATTTTATATGGGAGCCAACAGAATTTATGTTTAGTAATGTACTCCTTGAGCCTCAAAGAAAAACAAAGGAAATTGTCTAATAAAAAAATAAACACTAAAAAAAGAGTAGTTCACGTCCTTGATGAGTTCCCAAAATGCCACCACTCAGCCTGACATTTTACTTAATTTTGTGGTATTGGGACTCAAACACAGTGCCTCACAGTGAACTCTATCCACAAACCAGCTCAGCCTTTTTTTTTTTTTTTCTTTTTTGTACTAGGTGTTCAGCTCAGAGCCTCACCCATGGCCTCTGCCACTGAGCTACACCCTAGCCCTCAGACTGACATTTTAAAATCCCCATTTTTAATCTTTGAAGTTCATGCACTGATTTGTTCAACATCCATTTAGTGGACCCCTGTCTGTGTACTGTGAAAGAATCCCAATTAGCTAGGATTTACGGGCAGGCACCACGGTGCCCCGCTGCCCTGGAGTTATATTATCAGTCCATGAACCTGTTTGCGGGCATAACAATGTCGTGCTCTAGGCTGCCCCGATGCAAGTGTGTTCTGAGCAGGACAGGACTAGGGCAGGGTGAGCGTGGGCTTAGTGGCAGCAGGGTGTAGTGAGGATGGCCTCTCGAGGCGGGGTGCCAGACCTCCTGACCACCAGGCGCAGTATCGGGCAGAAGGATGCCTCTTGCAGAAGCATCAGGCTGGCGTCTTCCTCTCGGTGCTGCTGAACGTGACTCAGTCGGAGGACGGACTTGGATTTGTTTCTTACAACGTCTAGCTGGCAGCGACCCCAAGCAGGAGCCCAGGAGGCCAGTTCCGAGGGTCGTGCCCATTCCCAGGGAAGTGGGGCTACAATCCCCAGGCATAAATTAGACCAGAAAAGGGGCGGTGACAGTGACTCTCAAGCCCTACGAAGCTGCCCCCAGCAAACCTGTAGCCTCAGGCTGGAGCTGAAAAAATGGCCCCTGGACCTCAGACGGCGCTGGGCCGCAGGGCGGGCCTGTGGAACCCCCTGCCCAGACCCGCGCGGCGGGACCAGAGCTCCTCACCCGTCAGGGCGGGGGGCCAAGAAGGACGGTGCCGCCCCAGCCTGGGCGAACTGCTCTCCAGTAGCTCCAGGCGACACCCGCCACTTCCCTTCCCTCCATAGTCTTTCGTTTTTTCACTCGTTTTCTGACCAGACGGTCTTCAGCCAGCCTGCGCCGGCAGGTCTCCCCACCTCGTCAGCACGAGAGTCAGCGAGCGGGAAACCCTTCAGCCTCCCACGCCGGCGAGATGGCGCCTGCGCGGCGTGGGGCGAGAGGCGCCTGCGCGGCCGACGGGCGAGGCGCCTGCGCGGCTGGGAGGAGGGGCGGGGCGAGACGAGTGCTCGGCGGGCTCCGCGGGTGTCCGCCGCCGCCTGCGTCCTGGCCGGGTCCGAGCGGGCCTCGGGCATCCGGTTGCGTTCTGGCCGGGGGCACCCGACCCCGGACGGGAGGTCCCGCCCACAGAGACAGCTGTTTTCGCTGGCTGCGCCCGGAGACTTTCTCGCGCCCCCGGCGTGGAGCCCAGCGCTGCAGCGGAGCTCTTCTGAGCTCTGGCCACGCACTGGGTCGGGAGGGGAGGAAAGGAACCCCACTCGGTGACGGGGTGGCTGTGAAGCCCAGTGCTGGGAGTTAACACCAACGCCTGGGCACCAGCCAACATTTTTTTTTTTTTTTTTTGGTATTTTCTTTTGCATTTAATTTGTTCATCTCCATTATACGGAATGATGGATTTCATTGCGGTGCAGTAGCACAATGTAGTATATATAAAAATACAGTTTGATCAATTACATTTTTCTGTACCCCCCCCCCCAGCTCCCCCTGCCCCTCCTCTACATTAATGGTCATGCTTCTACTTCGTGGTGTCTCTTTTTTCCCTTTTAGCTTCCACATATGAGGGAAAACATAACTTTTGTCTATGAATTTGGCTTATTTCCCCCAAAATGCTCATCTATATTTCTGCAAATTACATAATTTTGTTCTTCTTTATGGCTGAAAAAAAACTCGATTGTGTATATATACTACATTTTTTTGATTCATTCATCTGTTGATGAACACCTAGGCTGATTCCATAAATTGTCGTTGTGAATTATGCTGCAGTTAACATGGATGTGCATGTATCTCTAAGGAACTATTAATGGAGGAGGTGAGTTTGGATGGAGCCTGGAAGCAAGGGTAAGATTTTTGTTAGCAAGAAAAGGTGACAGTGTTAACATTTACAGCAATTAGTTGTATAAATAAACTATTAATATGTAATTTGTTCAGTTTAGGGGTGGAAGATAAAGGAGTCAGAGCTCTCTTAACTATGTAGAGAAATGGGCGGAAGCTTTGTTGAACCACAATGTGAAGAAAGACCACCCACTCAAATTTAAACCAAATTAAAGCAAGCTTATATTGTGTACATAAGAGAACTGATCAGGGACTGTCTCACCCAGAAAAACAGGGCCAAAGAAAAGTAGCTCGTCTGATTACAGGGAAGTTTTTATAATACAAAAAGTTACAAAAAGAGAGGTGTCTTGGGAGCTTACAGCTGACAGGGTTCTGGCAAGCATTATACAAGGGCAGACAGCAGGTAATGATCTACATTGTTTTAACATCTCAAGGTGGGCAGCAGACTCAGTCCAACATCAGAGTTAAGCAGGAGCAGCTGGAATTTCAGGGAGGGTTGTCATCTGGTCAAGGAGAGCCAGGCATGGGGAAGTTCAAAGCAAGGGCAAGAATCCCAAGCAAATTATGGTCAGGCCAAATAGAAATCTTAGTATTTTACAGTAAAACAAATGAACTTTTCATGACTTTGTGAAGAAATGGCTTCCAATCTTAAGATGGCATTAGCCTGGGCTGGGGATGTGGCTCAAGCGGTAGCGCGCTCGCCTGGCATGCGTGTGGCCCAGGTTCGATTCTCAGCACCACATACAAACAAAGATGTTGTGCCTGCCGATAACTAAAAAATAAATACTAAAAAATTCTCTCTCTCTCACTCTCTCTTTAAAAAAAAAAAAATGGCATTAGCCTGGGTTCGGTTCATCAGCTTCACAAGGAATTCAAGCTTAAGTAGGATTTTGTTAGAAAGGAAGGGAAATGTGTGCAAAGCATTGGCTGTATATACAAAGTTCATCTAAATAAAACACAATCTTTTTTGTGTTAGGCAGAGTGCAAAATATTCTAAAAATAAAAAGGACCGAAACATCTTTTTTTTTTTGAGAATTTTAAATATTTATTTATTTTTAGTTATCGGCGGACACAACATCTTTGTTTGTATGTGGTGCTGAGGATCGAACCCGGGCCGCACGCATGACAGGCGAGCACACTACCACTTGAGCCACATCCCCAGCCCCTGAAACATCATCTCAAGAATGTTAGCTCTATAGAGAGTTTAATATCCATTAACATTCAATCCCCAGCACTACACACATACACCCACAAATATATATATCTACATTAACAGAAGTAAATATTTCTTTTTTAAAAATATTTTTTAGTTGTAGATGGACACAACATCTTTATTATTTATTTTTATGTGGTGTTAAGGATTGAACCCAGGGCCTCACACCTGCAAGGCAAGCACTCTACCACCGAGCTACAGCCCCAGCCCTATAGTAGATATTTCTGAAAGAGGAAGTAATCCACTTTACAAGGAAAGTAATTGAAATACCAGTTTTCTATTTGTTCTTGTGTTGCTTCTTTCTTCAGACTTTCTTTGTATAAAACCAACCTCTTCAGCTCAGCCCATAGGAATGCTCTTTTATGAAATGAAGGTTGCCTAATTCTAAGAATTGAAAATAAAGCCAGTTAAGATGTTTAGTTGTAATGCTGGATTTTTTTTGTTTAACAGTACTAGGGATTGAACCCATTGCCTCATATGTACTAGCCAAGCACTCTACCACCGACTTACATCCCCAGCCCTTTTTATTTTATGTCGAGACAGGGTCTGGCTAAAGTGCTCAGGCTGGGCTCCCAAGTAGCTAGGATTACAGGCATGCACCACCTCATGTGGCTTGTTTAGTTTGTTAAATGTGGTAAATTCATAAATTGACTTTCAAAAAGTTGCACTTAGCTTGCATACTAAAATAATCATAAACACACTTGGACATGATGTATCATTATTTTATTTATTGCCAGATTAAATCTCCAAATATTTTGTTTAGAATTTTTGTATAATTTCCCATGAATGGTTTCTTTTTTTAATTTTTTCTTTTTTTTTTTTTTTAGTTATAGAGGGCACACTATCTTTATTTTGTTTATTTTATTTTATTTTTAGTTTTTGGCGGACACAACATCTTTGTTTGTATGTGGTGCTGAGGATTGAACCTGGACCGCTTGAGCCACATCCCCAGCCCTTGTTTATTTATTTTTATATGGCGCTGAGGATCCAACCTGGGTCTCACACATGCACGGCAAGCGCTCTACCGCTGAGCCACAACCCCAGCCCGTAGTATTTTCTTATACTTTTTCTTCTCATACTTTTATCAGATTTTTTTTTTTATATTGGGGATTTAACTCATGGATGTTAAGACTGAGCTATATCCCCAGCCCTAATTGTTATTTTTTTATTTTCAAACAGCCTCTCACTAAATTGTTAAGGGACTTTCTGAGTTGCTGAGGCTGGCTTTGAACTTGCAATCTTCCTGACTTTACCTCCTGAGTCACTGGGATTGCAGGAATGTGCCAATATGCCTCACTAGTTACATGTATTTTTAGTGTCATATCTCAGAAAACTTTCCCAAATCCAAGGTCACAAAGATTTATCCTTGCTTGTTTTCTTCTGTTTGTTTTTGTTCATTTATGTCTTATACTTAAGTCTTTGATCCATTTTGAGTTAATTTGAATATGTACTGTGA